GAAAAAATTTGTTTTTATAATTTACAATGTAAAAACAACTGAATTCAGAGTTTGATCAGAAATTGTGAATTTTGTGAAAAAAAAAAAAATAGTGAAAAAATGAGTCATAAAGTTCATTCATTTCATACTAGCATATGTTAATATTAATTGTTTGTGGTCGTATTTGAGAATCAAAAAGTTTGTGAAAGGGATTTCTTTTTCGCGAACAAAATTCGAAAATAGCTACTTTAGATCAAACTTGATTGAATTCAGTTGTTTTTTCTTTATCAGTTTTTTGTTGTGTTTTGTTGTATTTTTTTTTTTTTTTTTTGCCCTCTCTGGGCAACTAACTTTTTTAAAAGTTTATTGTTCTATTTTATTGTTTCTAATTTAACTATTATTATGAAATTTTTGATGTTTTTAATAATTTTATAGTTATTACTAATGATTTTGTTTCTTTTTTTTTTGAAATAATCTATGGATTTTTTTTTCCATTTTTCACATTTTACATTAATTTACCAATAATTTTTAATACTTTTTTACTACGTATGTTATCATTTTTATTTTAGTGTTATCTAATTCTTTTCTGTTAATTTTTCTGTTATTTTTTTCATTTTTCATCTAATTTATTATGCGTATTGGATACCAACTTATATTTGATTATGCGTTTCTTGTAATAAGTTTGTTGGTTATGTTTACCAATATCATGTTTGTTTATTTTGTCTTACTAGAATATTTTAATATCATATTGGATATTAGATAGTTAATAACAACATTTTACATTTAAACATATTTTTTTTGGAATTGAGTAATTTTTGAAGCTTTTTCTTACATTTAACCTAATTTTTTGAATTATCGAATTAGAAAATAGTGGTATCATTGAATAATTTGATAATGTCTAGGTTTAATTTTTTTTGTTGAATTGCCATTTGGTATCCAATAAGTTATTTTGTGGTGGAAGAGATCGAGAGTAGGTATAGATAGAGTTATACCTACCCTCGATGTAACTTATGATTTAGTGTGTGAGGAAAATTTTGGAGCATTTGAAATTCTGAAAATAAATTTTAAATTCTTAAATCGTGAAGCTTTTTGAATTGACTTTTAAATTCTAGATATCTTTTATTACTTATTGAATAATTTTAAAATTAATAGAGTCTGAGATTTTTAAGAAATTTTGAAACTTCTCTAGGGATTTATTTTTTGTTCGCGTTGAGTTTTGAAAATTTCTGAGTTATTTAAATTTTAGTTTTTTTCTGATTTTTTTAAAGTTTTAAATATTTGTGGGTTTTTATAATTTTTTTCATTTCCCCAATTTTCTATTCCCTTTTCAACTTTTTAGTTTTTGAATTATCTTGAAAATTATTGAAATTAGTCTGAATAATTGACTTTTGGGAGGTTTATTTAAAGGTTGAATTATTTGTTTTAATTTTGATTTTTTTTTTCTTATCTTTTATAATTTTATTTTTTTTTAATTTCTTACTGGAATTGTTTTTGAATTTTTAGATCTTTAATTCTCTAATTATAATTTTGGATTTATTATTAAAAAGCATGCCGCATTTTTTTAGTTTTAACTAGTAACATATTTTTTTATAAATTTTATTGTAGTTTTAGATGCCCCCACTCATTTTTTATAGGTTCTGTTTTAGTTTTTTCTTACCTTCTTTTCGCATTTATTCCTCACTTGTACTTAATGCATGCTTTTCGCTAACTTTTTACTGTATAATACTTTATATTTTACTAAGGTAGTGATTTACACTCGTTGTAGTTTAACTAATTGCATGCTTTTTTAGTTAATTAAAATTATGTAATAGTATCTTACTAGCTTATATTAATAATTTCTTTTTTTGTTGTTGTATTAACTGCATGATCTTTTGTTAATTTTGCTTCCTCCAATAACAATAATCTTCAAATGCTTTCTTGTTCTTGCATGCTTTTTTTATTAATTTCGTTTTTGCTTGAATTTGACTAACTTTACTCACTGCATGCTGCTTCTTGTTGATTTTGATCACCTTTTTTTTAGCTACTTAGTCCACTATTGTTAATATTAATGCATGCTTTTTCATTTTATTTTTTAAGATTCCATCTCCATTTGCTTTTTCTTACTGCATGCTTCCTGTTAATTTTACTATCTATTAATTGCATGCTTTTTTGTTAATTTTAATGTTTATTAATTCTGTGCTTTTTTATTAATTTTGTTTTTGCATGAATTTTGGCTAACTTTACTTACTGCATGCTTTCTGTTAACTTTACTATTTATTAATTGCATGCTTTTTTGTTAATTTTAATGTTTATTAATTGCATGCTTATTCACATTGATTACCTTTTTTTTTACCTTGAATGCTTTTTGTTAATTTTAATGCACGTTTATTCACTTTGATTACCTTTTTTTTTTTTTACTTTGCATGTTTTTTTGTTAATTTTAATGTTTATTAACTGCATGCTTTTTTATTAATTTTGTTTTTGCAAGAATTTTGGCTAACTTTACTTACTGAATGCTTTTTGTTAACTTTACTATTTATTAATTGTATGCTTTTTTGTTAATTTTAATGTTTATTAATTGCATGCTTTTTTGTTAATTTTAATGTTTATTAATTGCATGCTCATTCACTTTGATTACCTTTTTTTTACTTTGCATGCTTTTTTATTAATTTTATTTTTGCATGAATTTTGGCTAGCTTTACTTACTGAATGCTTTCTGTTAACTTTACTATTTATTAATTGCATGCTTTTTTGTTAATTTTGATGTTTATTAACTGCATGCTTTTTGTTAATTTTAATGTTTATTAATTGCATGCTTATTCACTTTGATTACCTTTTTTTTTTACATTGCATGCTTTTTTATTAATTTTGTTTTTGCATGAATTTTGGCTAACTTTACTCACTGCATGCTTGTTATCCACTTTGATGACCTTTCTTTTTAACTATTTAGTTCATTTTTGTTATTATTAAAGCATGCTTTTTTGTTAACTTTGATCACTTTCTTTTTAACTACTTAGTTCGTTTTTGTCAATATTAATGCATGCATTTTTTTTAGACTACTTCTACATTCACTTTCACTTATTGCATGCTTTCTCTTAACTTTACCACTTATTAATTGCATGCTTTTTTATTTATAGCTGATATTATCAATTCGACTAGTTGTTTGCAGTATGGAATTCGTTATCAGTATTTATGGAAGTATATGTTATCGTCAGAGTTTACTGTGCAGTATCCGAACTTGCTAAAAGAGATTTGTCATTCTCTCCTGGTAAATTTATTTATTAGCAATTATTAATGAAAGTAGATTTTTTTTTTTATTAGTGAAAGTAGATTTTAAAAAATAATAAAGAAAGCAAAATTACTAGTAGTAAGATTTTTAAAAAATTGAACTTAAATATGAAATTGAACTTTTTAAACCTTAGCATTGACTTGAAGACATTAACAGTCCTCAAAAGAGGTACACACTAATTAAGCGGAACAAAGTGAATTAAAATTGGTTAATTATTGAAATGCTGATTTTAATTAATTGAATCCACGTTAAATTTCAGTGAAGCAAGTTGCATAATGAAACATAGTGATGATGTTTGGTGAACCAGTAGCGCTCCTCAATGTCAACAAAAGTAAATTAGGTTAAAAGAATATTTAAATTATTAGTGATTATTCCATTTAAAACTTCACTGCCGATAGTATTTATTAATTGCTTGAAATGAATTAATGTTGATTGGTCTAACTTAAGAAATGTGAAATAAATCATTCCAATCGAATCATGTGAGATACGTAGTTTGACTTTTAGATTTTAGATCTATCCTTATTTTATTTGTTAAATTACTCCATATCTATTGTTTGAATGTTTTAAAAAAGAAGAATTTTAGAGGCAAAGCAGCAAGGGATTTTTATAGCTATCAAGAGTGAAACGGTGTTTAACATGATCGTGTCACATGACCTTATTGCAATAACATCAATTATTTCTCCTGATTAACTGAAAGTAAGTTACTTTAAGTATTTTCTGAAATGAGTGATAAAATAAATACTAGAAATTATGAAGCAGAAAAAAAAAATTATTTTCTAAGGAATGATTTTTAAAATTAATTTATATGTCAAATAGATAGATGTGATGAAATGATTTTGCTGATTAAATCAATTTTATAAGGGAGAGACCTATAAATACTTGAGTAGATTAGATGCACGGTCAAATTGAAGCCTAAATTCACCGAAATGAATCGAAAAGGCAATCCAATTATATAAGGAAACAAAATGAAATAGCCAATGCAATCCCATCTGGAAATGATTCATGATGTTATCCTGATTTTAAGTTAATGACAGATTGCTTATTTGTGAGTGAAAAATATTTATTTGAGTTCGGATTAATTGTTTGCATAGTGGGACTTCGTTAATTTTGTATCTCATCTGACATGTTTTTTTCCGGTATTGGTGCTTTCGTTGAAATAGGGTTAGCTTAAGCGAGATTATTCGGCGTTGTTGTTAAGAAGGCGTAAATGTCAGTTGCTTATTTCCATCATAAGGAATAAGACGAAAACTTAATTTAATTCTTATAGGCAAACATTTCAATTTCTCTTAATAGCTGATAATTTCTCAGCTAATCTGTAGTTTTAGATGCCTTAATCATAGTTCTTGTGCGAATTTTCGTGATTTTTATTAAGATTTATGAATTATTTTTGTTTGGTGAATAAGTCTGCAAACACTATTAGCCACTTATTTTTCACTCTCTCCATTTGTTCAAATGGTCACTGTAACAATTTCATTGATGATAGTACGACTTCTAAGCATCAAATTTAAAGGTTTTTAAAGGATGCTGGTGATGCTAATTGCTAAATTGTCCCCTCATTTATTGAGCTACTTGATTTAAGGAAATGCATTTATCGTCTTGCTTTTTTTGTTTTAAGTCTTACCATCATTACATCATCCTGAATTTTTCTGCTGCTCCAAAAGCAGGAAGTACTGTAAATTTGGGAGTGCTTATATTTGTATGCACATATTTGTTTATAATTTAGATTGATTTGTTTTTATCTGAAACACTGATTATGGATGACAGCATGGGGAATGAAGGAAATGAGTGTAAACAAAACGACAACTGGGCTTCATCTGAGGAGCAGCCATCCACTTCAGCAAATTCGAATTCAAGTGTTGCCGAATCTGTTAAACGACAAAAATTGAGTCGTAAGATTCATATCGGTCAGTATTATATCTTATAAGAAAATATGGAGTTAAATCAAAGCTGTTGAATATTGCTGTTACAATAGTGTTTGCTGTGAGATGCAAGTAGCAGATTTAATATTGCAGCGGTTGCTGGTTGTTCGCATGGTGAGATGGATAAAATTTATGCAACAATGGCAGAAATCGAACGACGAGAAGGCTATAAATTCGATTTGCTCATTAGCTGCGGTGACTATGAAGTACGTTGTGTCCATTACAGAACAGTTACTCTTTCTATTTTTGCGTTGTTTTTATTTAATAATGCTAGACAGATGTGTTAACGAAACTTTTTTTGAAGCAGCAAATAGATAGTATAAAGACATATATATATATATATATATATGGTTGGTCTTACTGAAATATCGAATTATCTGGATCATGTGATATGTACAGAGTTTTTAAGGAACTGCTAAGGAAATGGTTGTCAAATCTATTTTTTTTGACTTCAGAAGTAGTTATATGGTAGTACAAATGATCAGCAATTGTTATCAAGGCAAGAGATTTATCGAGAAATTTTAGTTCTTTGAAATTGTTCCCAGTTTTTGAGGGGACTGTTTTCTGATACTACTCCTCTGACAGCAGAGTATATATCTTTAATTTCATTCTTCAAGAAGTTAATTTATTTTTGCAGGCAGTTCGAAACTATGGTGATTTGAAGCATATGCATGTACCTGAGAAATATCGGCATTTGCAAAGTTTTCATCGTTATTATTCTGGCGAATCAGTAAGATTAAGCTGTATTTTGCGGTAAAAATGAGTTATATTGTACACTATAGTATGAACAGAATAGTATGAACTATCCTTATGAGTAATAGGTACATTAATGTGGTATCAAGGGCACATGTAATTAATGTTGCAGGTATATCGAATTGTTTGAATTATGTGGCATTTATTTAAAATTATATGTGGCAATTGTTTACGTTTTACATCCTGAGTTTCTTTTATAGTGGTGTAGTTGTTTCTGTGCACACTGTTTTATTCAACATATACTAGACGTTGTATTAAATAAAAAGAAAATTGGACTAATTTTGCTAAAAAAGTTTGAATTTGTATTACTTGTTATTTTGTTTTAGGAAGCACCAGTATTAACGATTTTTATTGGAGGGAATCATGAAGCTTCGGGTTATCTGCAAGAATTACCTTATGGTGGGTGGGTCGCGCCAAAAATTTTCTATTTAGGGCATGCATCTGTTGTGCAATTTGCAGGGCTCCGAATAGCTGGTCTTTCGGGCATCTATAATAAAAATGACTATAACAAGGGTACATAATTTAACTGTTCATTTCTTTGGTATATCATGTAAAATTCTATTTAATGTACTTATGAGGATATGTCTATAGTTAGATCTAGTTTCAGATTGTGATATAATTTCATTTGTCAAAATTTCCACTTCATTCAAGGTCATTGGGAACGTCCGCCATTTACTGATTATGGTGCAGTTGTTTCTGCGTATCATGTGCGTTCTGTCGATATATTTCGTTTAAAACAGTTGAAGCCGAGGAATCCAAATGGTATATTGCTTCTTGTTAATTGATTTGTTTTTGGAAATATGTTTTGCTTAAGCGACAAGTCTATTAAAATTTTATTATATATTTCGTCTCTCATTTTCTTTCTTATCAAAGATCTTGTTGTGATCATCAAATTTTTGTTAGGTATTTATGTGGTTGAAGTGATAAGCTATACCCATGCTAGGCTCACGTTCTTGATGTAACTGTGCAATTTATGGTCATTTAAGGCCAAATTAGTCTGAAATCAGGTAAATTAGATAGGTTGTTTCCATCTTCAACTTCCGTTTTTTTCTTTTTTTTTTTTTTTTGCCGCTGCACATGCCGTTTTTTTCTTGACTGACCGTCTTCTTTTCGTCTCTTATTCGGTTGTAGTGTTAAGATTTTAGACTTTTCGTTTACTTCAGAACCACAAATCGATATAATGGTTACACATGACTGGCCAGCAGGCATCACTGATTACGGCGATGTTAAGCAATTACTGAGGTTGAAACCATATTTTGAAGAAGATTTGAAAAAGAATGCGATTGGAAATCCGGCTTCTATGACACTGTTACATGTAGGTGGATGTGTTATTTGAGATGACGTAGCAATAGGAAACAGTTAAATAATGGACACGTAGAGTTCTAGTGGTTCATGACTTAGAATTCATTATTAAAGTTCTTCCTTTGAATTCCCGGTTCTGAGTAGATATGGAAGTGTAATGGTATGAATCACTGCAGTAAGCAGTGAGTCTAAGGTTCGGTTCCTAGTACTAACCTTCAATCAGGTTTTCCGAGCGCTCGTATAATGACGTATTTGGAATTGTGCGAAGGTTAAAAAATTGCTGCTCCCTTGCCACGAAGGGTTTGAAGTTTGCCGAGCTCTTTGCCTTCCTGTGGAGCGTACATCGCATTTATCAGTTGGTTAACATTGCTTTTGAATTCATATCTGATCTTTTTTTCGGACTTTGAGGTCAATTTATGTTATTGTTGTTTGATTAGGTATGAATGACATAGATGAAAATCTATAACTTACGTTGTTTCTTATTGCAACTTGAGTTGGTTTCTACTTATATCTGGGGTTCTAGACATTCAATGTTCTTAATAATTCTTGCTGATGTTCACGACATGGAATTTTTCAAGGTTTGGTTTTTATTATTGAAATAAAAGCAAGTCGAAATATTGAGTTTTTTTTTTTCTGTTTATAGGTATTGAAGCCGCGTTACTGGTTGGCAGCACATATGCACTGTTTTTTTGCAGCTTTGGTACCTCATCTGAATAAAAATGACCCTGAAAGTAATTTTGAACCAACCAAATTTCTGTCACTGGATAAGCCACTTCCACGAAGGCATTTTCTGCAGGTAATTCTAACGTAAACTGAGTATATGCATTATGTAAATTTCAAGAAATCTTTATCTCACCATTGGTTATAGATAGAGAAATTTTCCACGTATTTATTAGCGTTACTAAAATTTAGCTTGTTTTATTAATTTACTTAATATTAAAGGATATAGTTTGTAACTGTAGTCGTTTGAAGTTTTTATTCTTTACATTTTTTTTTTTTTTTTTTGTTTCAAACATTTTTTTTGAATTTTTCGACGCTTAAAGTTCTTATTTTTGAATAGTATTTCTGTTCATTTCAGGCCTTAGAATTCGATGTTGATGAAAATGTTTCGCTAAATCTGTCTTATGATCCGACATGGTTAGCAATTCTGAGAGCAACAGACCCTCTTACATCAGTAAACAAAAGCGTATGTGTATTTTTTCATAAATTGGAATATCTATTTTCCATGAAAGTATTGCCTGTACTCCAGTTTTTCTTTTTTTGTTGATTTTTTATTCTACTCTTGGAAAAAGGAAATTTACGTAGCAAATCTAAAAACAGAAGCAATTGTTGATAGGTGTGAGTTTCGTGTATAAGCCATCCGTGTAAAGTATTTATGCATGTTAACATGTTGCTTGTGTTTTATCCTTATTTTTGTGTTAAAATTTTTTTTTGTATGCGCACTGAATCCAAATTGATTGTTTTGGCACTTTTGCACTTCAAAAAAAAGTCTTGATTTAGATTTTTTTTTTTTTTTTTCTAGAATATCTATATGCCGTCACAGCATACACGCAGTGAACGTTGGGACTTCAGACCGACTGAAGAGGAACTAACAAAAGTGGAAGAAATATATGATGGGGATTTTACTATTCCAAGGAATTTTAAGATGACAGCGTGGCCACATAGAGCAGATGGGATCGATGATAGTTCTCAAGAATTGTATTACAGGTGAGCTCAGCGAATTGTAAATTGGTTAACCAAATTTTTTAATATGAAGATGATAAAGTTTATGATCAGTTTTTTTACCGTGTTTTGAAAAAGAAGAATGCTAAAATAGTGAGATGTCATGGTAGCTGTCCAAATTTTTAATTGGAATTAAAATTAAGCTCCTGTTTTTTATAACAGAAACCAATTTTCTTTAACTTAATTTTCTCATTCTGTTAGAATTTGTTTATTTTAAAATATATCGCTTATGTTTCTTTTCAGATTTTTTCAGGGAAATTAAGAGAATAGTAAAAATTATCCAAAATTGAGGCATACTTCTAAATAAGTTTTTGTGGAAATTATGAAAGATCGATAAATCCTTCTCTGTTTTCTAGAAATCCTCAGTCAACAGAATTCTGTGCAAAACTTGGGATTAAAGACTTAAATGAAATGCTTTGTTCACTTTCGATGAATGGACTTGGTATCCCTTATTACATTAACAAGAATAGCGATTCTGAAAGTGTTCTGAAAAGCCGAACTTTTGAAAGAAAAGAGATGGTACCTTCAAATTTTACGATTATCCTGTCAATTTTATTTGCTATGTAAAATGCAGTTTAAATCTTAGTGATTTAGCAATTCTAAATAAAATTCCAGTGATCTCAGTTTTTTCTAAAATTAATCCCTTAGTTATTCTATTTCTTATAAGATATTTTTAGGTGAAAAAATATTTTAAGCTATAGTTCAGCTCCTGTTAGATTAGATAAGTAGATAGGTGAGGGAGAGAGAGAAAGTGAGAGTAAGAAAAAGTCAAATTTGATTGATTGATTGGTTGATTATAGATAGATAGATATGAATATATTTTAACAAATATTTGACGTTGAAATTTGCATTTTTTAAAAATTTGTATTTTTTGCTTAGGATTTCGACGATAAAAGCGACTTTATTATTGATAGAAATCCAGTGCTCGAACCGTTGTTATTAAAAGATTTCGAGACACCAAATGTGACAAATAATGATGAATCTAGCGAACATCCATCCAGTACCATTACTGATTATGGAAAAAGGTAAGTTTTACCTATCAGAATATATTCGAAGAATAGTTTTTTCTAGTTTTTAAATTTTTTTCTAAAAGCATAGTTTTAGCAATGTCTTCCAAGCTGTAGTCTTTAATTTTCAAAAGCTTTTTAATTTGACTATCGTGACATGGTTATTTCCTTTATAATTTTTTTAAGAAGAAATACATACAGAATTAAAGAGTTGAGGGATTTTTTTTTTTTTCGTTAAAATGTACCTAGTTATTGTTTGTTAGGACTGATAATGAAATTGACGAAGGATTACAACTTGCTGGCTCGGAAATTTTGTGACGAGAGATCACTGGTATTAATGAAAATGAGTCAACACAATGAATCACTTAGCATTCATCTTAGCTTAATTTTATCACCTAATTTTCAGCTTATTACCAAGTATTTTTTATTTCCATAATTTGCACAATTTGCATGGATGACTATTTGAGAACATTTACCGTATGTTTTTGGTATCCTTCTCTCTAAGTTGAAGTTACCTTTCGAAGAAATGTTGTGCATAACATACTTTTTCTCCTGAAATTAGAAAAATGTTTTTTTGATTGTGATTATCAGTGCTACTGCAGTATAGTTTTATCATGATTGCTTTTAAGCAATTTATTTATGATTTCTCATGCTGCATTATGTTTCCTGTGCTATGTTGTTTCACTGATAACACTTAATAAATTTGTTGTTGCGATGAAATTTTCAATCATTCAATTAAAATATGCAAAACTGTGTGTTTTGATGCGATTAAAAAGAAATCTCCAGGATTACTTTTCTGATTTGGAAGTAAGTTATGTGAATGAGGTTGTGCTGATAAGTTCTGCGAGAGGATGATAAGAATTTGTTTGATTGAGCAAAATACGAACAATTATCTCAGAACTTGGACTTTCTTATATTTAAACTGACAAACTTGAACTGTCGGCATTTCCGGTATAATTTTGTAACATTTATTAAGCAAAAAAATATTAAAAAATTTACAAAAAAAAAAGTATTAAAAAAAATTGTTCAAGCTGATTGTCTGATTACTTTGATTATTAGAGCGTATTTGCTACTCGATCATCTAATTTATAAACGTTTTCCTATGATGGTTATTTACGATGAGTTTAATTTTAATTTTATATTAAAGTTTACTATTGAGGGTTGGTTAGAATAATGATAAGAGTTGGATGAATTGTATTGATTCCATCTTTCGTGGGAGAAATAACAAAATTATTGGATAATTGCTAATGTAAGTTTCCTTTTTTATTTTTCTACAGTTCAAGAAATAATTATTTTTTTGAAAACATATGTGGTACTCAGCCTTTTAAAACCGACTAAACTATAGTTTTCGAAGCCTCAAGTTAGTAATTTTTAGTTGTTTAATCACTGAACCATTTAGTAATTAATTACTAGCTATTTTTAGTAACAGTTGTAATTTTCTAAATGATGAAATTGGAATACAGGTACAAATAACTTTGTGAAATGATTTGATTATAGCGAAAAAATTTTGGATTTCTAAAATTTCAACGAAAACTTAATTGTGAAAGTGTTATCTGTTTCAATTAAAGCAAATAGGACAGAAGTCAAACTTTCCGATTATAACTTAAATATTAATTACTTAATAATGTTACTTAGAATTTTGATTATAACTTAAACATTAATTATTTAATAATGTTACTTAGAGTTTTGATTATAACTTAAACATTAATTGCTTAATAATGTTACTTAGAGTTCCGTTATAGCTTAAATATTAATTACTGGAATATTATAAATATTAATTAAATTCACTTGAGTCTTTCAAGTCTTTTTATAGATTTTCTGGCTTATTACTAAATGATAACAAGGTAGTATAATGAGCAATATAAGGTACATTGGTACTTTTAGTACAAGGTAAATATGATACTATACGATTTGCTAACTTTGATGATTAATGCTGCACTTTTTCTCTAAGTACACTTAAAGTAAAGGTAAGTATCGTCATAATGAACGAGGAAGTTAGCTGATTGAATTGATTATTTGGCACTTTTCGTTCTTTTATTTATTTATTTTTTTTGGTACTTTTACTAAGTTATTGTCGTCTGTACCACTTGTCAACCTTCTTTTTATCTAATTGTCCAGGTAGTTTTTGCTTCATTTGAAATGTTAAAGTATAGTAAATGAGTGTACTTAAGCTTTTTTCCAAATATTACTAATTTGAAAATGTAAAATATTCTGAAGTAGAAAGGACAAAAAAAAAAATGAATGGATGGATGCAAATTTACATACTGATGCAAAGTAATAATCACTAAAAATTGCCTACTAAGCTATGTTATTCTGTAAAGTTTTTTTTTTTTTTTTTTTTTTTTTTTTTTCAAATTTTAAATTTTAATATGCATAATGGTACAGTGATAGCATTATGAGATCAAAAACATCTTCTTAAATGCTTAATTGTTTGTCTAAATTCAAGGATTAGATATCAGTGTCTGCTATCATCTGATAAATGATCTGTTGGAATTTCATGTAGTAATTTGAATTTAAACAATTAAAAAGCATTATTACTTACTTTAACTTTCATAAGATCAATTTCTTTTCCTGTTCTTATTTGCAATGTTTTTGTTAATCTTTACCGTAATATTTACAATTCTTTTTATACATTTACACGTGAACACGTGAAGTAAGCAGAAATTGAATAAATATTATTTGAAGTTCCAATGAATTTATATTTAAAATGTTTGTAGAAAAATTTGCACTTCAAAATTATCAAATATCTATTATATTTTGTATTTTGAAGTATTATTAGATTTGTAAAAATACAAAAAAAGAAAAAAAAAAACTCAAAGAAACTTTTAACAAAGCAAAAAATATAACTTCTGTCAATACAGAATGAATGATTAACTATGCTAAAAAGAAAGTCACATTTTCATTTATTTTCTTTGAAATGACAAAAATAACTAGCATGACCAGGAATTCTAACCTCAGCAAATAATAATTAAATTAAATTTTAAAGAGTAGAACTCAAAGCTAGAAACTTTCAAGTTGAAAAAGACACTTTAAAATTTTCTATTGTGAATTCAAAATTTTCTTTTTATTTCATTCGAATATACTTTGATATTTGAAGTGAAATTTAATTTTTATACAAGCTGTGAGGTTGCTGTAAACTTTTAGAAGTTTCTAGGTTGCGTTTCTGAAACACTAATTGTCATTGTAAATTTTACGTCACTTAAAAAGGACTTTTCTTCGGTGCTTTGGTTGATTTAAAAAAAAAAAAAAGAAGAGGATTATGAATGAAATCATTTCTTGGAAAGTTTACACAATTTTCAGTATTCTTTCTTAAGTTATATTTGTAAATTTACAATTAATTAATGAAATAGGGCGGTAAAAAAATGAAGTAAATTTCAATTTTTTTAAATCGTCCCTGCACTATGATTATAAACATTACATATTAAATGTAATATTATAAGACATAGAAGTTTCATCTTTTCTGGGCTAACTAAGTCTAAAATACTGTTTGATGTTGATTAACCACCCACTGCATAACATTGTCCACCGATGTTGACACCAATCGGACATAAACCATTCACTGCTGGTCCATCTGATAAAATTGAAATATATTTTTGACTACTTTGAATTAAAATGATTACTTTAAGTTAAAATATTCCTCTGCTTCTTATCATCAGTGATAATTTAATTTATTTCTCTTAATCTGCCTGATTATTAATTAATGAATCATTTTGTGGCGATTATTCTGATTTATTAGAACTTCTACACATATCGAATGCACCTGGTCACCTGGCATAAGTTAATTAGAATACTTACAGCTTGCCCCCAATCCTCCAAGATTACTCAATCCACCATATCCATAGCTCGGAAATATGAGATAAATGAACGATAATCCACCACCACCTGCTCCTGTTCCACCTGGATATGGACAGTAGCAGTTAAAACAGCAGATCAGACAATTTGTTACTGAAAAATTGAAATTTCAGCAGAATAATTTGTATTTTAGTTTTCATCATTATTATTTTATTTTTAGCTATGAATTTCTATTATTTTATATTTATGATTGTAGGATTCAATTCAATTATTACTATTATTATCATTATGCTAAAAGAATTAAAATTATATTTGGTTAGATAAGAAAAACACAAAAAAAAAAAAAAAAAAAATGAACAGTTAGTGAAATAATCGATTTTCTAGCTAATCATTAGCATGTCACCTGATTCTGTCATCTTTTTGCTATATTATTAGAAATACTTGAAATTCTGAATGTAGATTTATATCTATGATGATGAATCATGTAATAAATATTTAAATAAAAAGATTACCTGTCAAGATGCTAACGAAAATGATGAATGCTTGACGATGTATCATCATCGTGTACTACTATCTAGTAAGAATTCGTCCTTCAAAGTTAGTGATTTCAGGAACACTTTTTCGTTTTTCGTTTTTTTTTTTTTTTTTTTTTTTTTTTTTTTTTTTTCGTTTTTTTCCGATGAGATATTATTGTGGAGTGAAAACTTCGTTAATTTAAACGAAGAACTGTTTACATAGGTGGTTGGAATTATTCATCAAAATATACTCAACAAGATGAAAGTTGTATTTGTATGCGCAATTGATGCTTCATAGGTGTATACAAATTTTAGATATTTTATGTTGAATAAAATTGAACTCTTGAAATGGTACATAAATTTTTGTTGAAAAAAAAATGTATAACTAACTTGTATTGGAAAGTAATGATTATTGAAATGAATTTACCAAACAATTCATATTTCAATGAAACATTATAAATATCTAAAAAGTACAATTAGTACAAAAAGTACAAAAACTTATTAAACTTAGAGGCGTTGTTGAGTGAAATATAAAAAATTCTTCATTTTAACATAAATATTATAAACTTTTGTACCTAATATTTTATTTTTTTTCTTTCACCAACACTTTCATTATTTATTATTGCATTTTGAATTTTAATATTGAACTTAAACAATTAATTCTTTTATATAAATGAATTATTGATGGGTTAATTAAACTGTCAGATATTTTAGTCCTTGAAGTAAACTAATGTTATTCTGTCTTATCAAGTTTATTTTTTTAGTATTTTTAAGAATTTTTAAAAAATAGAATTAATTCTATTAATGCTCCTTTTTTTTGGATGCATGTGACAGTGATAGGTGAATAGAAATTAATAAATGAATTTCAGGAAAGTGGCTAATGATATCATCTTTATCTGCTTATGCCTTATGTTTTATTGATAAGATTACTCGCTAATTTATCACTGATAAGTAGTCACTTCAGATAGGACACTTAAACGTTAGTCCATTAATTGTTTTTATAGAAATTTTACATTTTATATTTTTATTCCTACTTATTTTTTTAAATTAATTGTTTCTTAAATGCTTTCCCCTTCTTTCTTCTAATATGTATGATATTAGTTATAAATATGACTGATATTTATGAGAAAATTAAGGAATAGTGTATATTCTTCGTACTGATTCTAATAAGACTTAAGGTAGATTTTTCATAATATTACAGCTTCCTCAAAATGTTATTTTTTTTTTTTTTTAAATTCCAACATTTTCTTCAAGAATTATATAGATTTATAAGCTTAATCTGAGAGCATCTAATAGTGGATAAATTTTTTAGCTAATAAATAAATTGATGATACTTGAAAATAGCTAATTTCGTCCATCTCATCAGTTAATATTTATATTGGTCATCAGTTCGATCAGTTTATCAGCTTATCGATAATGCATTCTTATTTGACGGTATATATTTTCAGTAAAATAAATTTTAGTAAAACAACGGATTTGTTTAAGAAGTTTCTATCATGTTAAATGCAATGATATGATTAAAACTTTTTCAGATTAAAAATTATTTTCCATTTCTTACCATTTCATCAATTTCATTTTAGTCAGAATTTCAGGAATACTATGCAAATAAATTCTCGCTATGATGAATCTTCAAGACTTCGTTTTCATTTTGTAATAATTTTGGAAATTTTTCTTTTTTCATAATTTTGAATGGAATAATCCAATATTGCCATATTTATCAGTTATTTATTATCAGTGCATAAAGAGATAAGAGTAATGCAATATCAAAATTCTCAATGCTAATAACATTTCGAAGAAAAAAAAAAATTCACTATACTTTTTGATTTATTCAATGTAATAATCATTTATTTGTTAATTCCTCCCAAATTTTTGTTTGTATTTGTTAAATTATATCTTAAATTATTCATTTTTTTAATAAGTTTTTTCAAGTTTTTCGGATTTATATGCTTTTTTCAGATTTTTCAGATATTTCAGATTTTCTATGCTTTTTTCAGATATTTCAGGTTTTATATGCTTTTTCAGAATTTTTTCAGATTCATATTCTATTTTGACATCTTATCAAATTTTGTTTATTTTAAAATTTGTCACAAATTAGCAGCAACAATTTGGAGTTCAAAATAAGCTTTCAATTATACTCTTAAAAAAAATAAATAAATAATGACATCCAAACTTTATTTAAATCTCATAGAGTTACAAACAGATAGACATTCAATATGCGATCAGAGAAAGTCCTCATCATTTTAGACATTTAAAATGCTTGACAAATATATTGCTAAGTCAATAAGAACAGTTCAAATTACCAAATAAAATGATTATTTATAATCTACTAATTTTCTAAATTAAAACATTAAAAACAATTCAAATTCATATTCTAATTCTAAGAAGCGAAGTTCGACTTGATCGAATTTTTTTTCTTTGGATCCCAAAAGGTAGAGATTTTGGCTCCAAGATAATTTTAAAAAGTATCAGAATAATAAATCTTGAGATAAACGAGAAAGATTCATTTTTTGTTCTTCTTGATTAAATCAGGCAAAGATTATAATGTGTTTTTTTTTTTTTTTTTTTTTTTTGGAAACTGAATGCAAACATGGATGAATTAGGAATCAGGAAATTACAGAAAGCCTAACATATGCTATGAAAATTTCAGATCATATCTTCCGGATACTGTTATTAAAAAGAAAAGAAAAGCATACAAAATAAAATACATAAAAAGGATAAATTTCAATATAACTGAAATTAAAATTCGACAATTAATGAAATTTAAAAACAACTGATAAAAAATTTAAATCATTATGTACAAGACCAGTCTTTCTTCAGTTTACATTTCTCATTTTCAATTGTATTGAAATTATTATTTCTTGTTTCCAATACTATCATACCAGCAATGACCGTTAATATTAACTCCGGCTGGACACATTCCATTTGCGCTTGCTCGTCCAAGATCTTGAAATTCAATCAATCAAAAGATATTTTTATGAAATCATCAAAAAATATCAATCAATTATTATTAATTTAAATACTATCATATTTCTAATTTCGTACCCCTTTAAGTAAGTCTTAGTTGTAAAAAAGCATTCCAATTATTTATGCATTGTTTTTATGATCAAATATTTTATTTCGAATTTCCGGAATATAATAAACCGGAATATCCAAATTATTTTTATAGCTGTTATTGAAACAACGATTTCAAATTATCGATTCAATTTCGAAATGAACAAACATTAACTGATATTTTATGACATCCATACTGAAACTTATATTTCTTTTTACTATAATCTTTATTTTTCCTTTATCAATTTTAACTAAACTTAACTTTCCCTGTAAGATAAGTGATATGTTTTAAGATGAAAATTTCAAGAAATTGATAAACTTACATCGAGTGAAGTATCCAAAATAGAAAGGATTCTGAAAAGTACCCAATCCACCTCCCAAACTACCCAATGCACCTCCCGAACCACCACTTAGTCCAACAAATGGGGACTGATATGGTACTGGAATTAAAATATTGATCGATCTTTTATTTGATAATTCACCTGATGGTGATGGACAGCATGGTTGTGCAGTGATAACTGAAAATTTACACCATTAATAGTGTTTGAGAGAATCATTAGTGTAAATTGATAATGATAAACTAATTAGTCTATTTCCTTAATAATTTCAGCTTATTGATAAGCTTATTCAATTTCAATTAAGCATATTCAATTTATTTTAGTATCATTAAATCATATTATTCTAATATGATTGATGGAATATGCTTAATAGTATTGCTTACAAGTGATATATAATTAAAAGTGATAGAATGAAATTTAAAATTAAAATTACCAATTAAAATTGTGCTTAGGAAGATAGCGATATGTTGAATCATTTAGCAATTAATAATAAATTGTAGTAAAAAAAAGAAAAAAAATTTTTTTTTTTTTTTCAATTCAATGCTAACAAACTGATAAATGTTGCTATTGTCAACTGCAACTGTGCAATAACTAATGCTTTTATGTGATCAAAAATTTTGTCCCAAAGAAATGCTTGTCAACTGTCAACTGGTTATGGCTTAACTTTAAATTTCTGGGTACTTTTCCCTCAACGAAATGTAAATATTTGAATGCTTATGAGTAAATATTAATAACCAGTAATACCTTCATATCTCCGTAAGCTTATGAAGAAGAAAAGAGAAGACAACGAAACATTGCTGATCTTTGGAAAACTTACAAATCTTTTTACTTTCTATTCTGAAACTAACTGGTTCTATGATATATTTATGTGTATTGAAAAAGAATGAAAACAAAAAAAGTTGTTTTCTTATTTTATCAATATTATATTACTCATAGAAAACAAGATTTTGAAGAAAAATCTAACAATTTTAAATTATTAAAATTAAAATTAAAATCACATAAAATTCCATCAAAAAACGAATTTCGATTATAAACAATTAAAAATTATTTTAGATATTGAATTACTCAAAGTGATTGCAATTTTAATTTGCATTATTTTGTCGAGAGCTAAGCAAATAAGATGAATGTTAACACTTTCATAGTTATTTGTACTTCCCTATACATTTCTGTTTCTTTTATAAGTGTTACTCATTTAATTAATCTAAAAATCATTTCAATTCTTACTTAAATTTCATGTAGAAATTTCAATAGCAATAAAGAAGAATGATGATGATACACTTTGACAACAAACAACAAACAACAACAATAACAAAATTGATAATCTAAATTTGATATCTTGTTGAAAAGTAAAGATTTTAAAATGCTATGATGAATTTATAATCAAATAAATAAATGTAATTTAAATTTAAAGCTAACAAATTCATTCGAAACAAATTTCTTTACTAAAAAATGAATCAACCATTTTCTGCTAAAGAGATATACTGTTGCACAATGCACTTGTTTAGCAGTTTGAAAAGATTGTTTCCTGTTGTTTCCATTTGCTTTTCCATTTTCAAATTTATTGATTTTAAAGGGCTAATTTATTCATGGAAGGATTTCAATTCTAATTCAGATTTGAAATAAATAAATTAAAGCAAGTTTTATTCATTTAGATATTTTTCATACATCTCTTTCTCTCTCTCTCTCTCTCTCTTGCTTTTAGATAAATCAATTTGCTTTATTAATTGTAGAAATTTAGATTATTATGATTTAAAGTTAGCTTAATTTTAGTTTTTCTCATAACACATATCATACAAATGTATCTTATCTAACATTATTGCTCACTTGTCATAGGTTAATTTTAATGATATGTTTTGTTTTCTAATGTTTTGAAGTGCAGAGATATTCAGGATGTTGTATAAAGGGCTGGTAACAAGGTCGAAAAGTGAATTTCTTTATGTGTGGTCGAAAAGTCTTGGTGGAGAAGCTACCTTGGATAAAAGATTGGTACCTCCGAATGAATGGTTGCCATCAGTTGGTGATTGGATTGTCTTCAGCATTAAGCGTGGCAGCAGTTTTGTTGATGATTTTATTGATATTCCAAATTTATTGCCGACAAAATTAAATGAACATGGACATGTTGTGGTGAGTGGAAATACTTTGTTTCTTTATGTTTTGGTTTTCAAGAGTGAATGATGAGATTCTTTAATATTTTTTAAATTGTTTCAAAAACTGTATTGGAGTTGTAGCTTTCTAGATTTTGTAAAACTTTAAGGAAAATACGGAAAAGGTATTTAACAAATAAGTTTTTGGATCTTTTTATCTCCTGTGGCTAAGAAATTGTAGGTATTTCTGTTTCCTTCAGGTCAAGACGAAAATCTCATGTCGTTCCAATGGTGCTTCTGGTTGTAATTTGTTAGCTCATTCAAATGATTTAGGAGTTATTGGAATATTCCAAAATTTCCCGAATTTGGATGAAAACTATGATTATAATGTGTGGGTTGAAAGGTCAGCTTACATCTTCCTTTTTTTTTTTTATTGAAATTCAGATTGTTTCATTCAAACAAAATGAAAAAATATATATATATATATATGAAAAGAAGCAGGTTAATTCTTACTAATCTTTTAGAAGTATTTTAGGAAAAATTGTTGAGATTTTAAATATTTTAGTCAAACATTTATTTAACTTACTACAAGTCATATTTAGAAGCAAGTGTGTGAGATGATAGGAACTAACTTCAAGCATAACGAAATTTGTTTAAAAAAACATAGCCAGCGCAATCATTTCTGGAAAAGTTATTGCACAGGATACTATTAATCTTTCATTTATATAAATATATAATATTTTAGAATTACTAGTGATCTCTTATCATTTATATAAAAATAACTATATTTCAGAATTCCGCATGCGCTTTCAAATCTTGAACACTTATACAAAACGTTCTGGTATATTGGCGAAGAACCTCCCGAGCAAATAGTGAAAGCATCTTTGGAACGTTTTTCATCAGTACATAGTCTTCCATCAGGATATAACGCATCGATGAAATTGTCGAACAGTACATTCGAGGATAATTGTTCTGATGTTACTACATATACCACTAGAAATTCATTCAGTAGCGGTGACTTTGATTCCAGTGAACTGCAAGAACATAATCAGTTACGCCAACGAACCAATACGCAGCAGTCATATTTTAGCAAAGTAAGCTTGCTAATGTAAACTTTTAATGATTTTTTTAATAAAATTTTAATGATATGTGATTAGGTTGCCTTTAATGATCAACTTTGATTCTTTAAAATTTTTAAGGTAAGAGGTTTTTTTTTTTTTTGCCTATGTTTATTGTATTTTAATATTTCGATAATATCTGTTTTTTCATTTTTTTTAAGATTTCATTTTTCTTTTATCAAGAGTTATTCAGCTATTGAACTAACTAAAAAAAAATAGTTAAAATAGTTATTAATAGAATTTCTATTTGTTTTAAGTACCAAAAATGAGTTTTTTTTTTTCCAGTTATTTACAGTGTATTTGGGAAAACAAATTAAAGTGAAAGCATAAAATCAGGTGTGAAAAAAAGGTTATTTTTGCAGGAACAATTTTTTGACTTTCAATCATCTACTTCAGCAGAAGGAGCAGAGGTAGAAGAAAAGATGAATAAATGTAAAACAGTTATTGGTTTGATAACATCCTCTTTTAATGGAAGAGCTTTTGTTTGGTCATCAGTACTTGGTAGAGGTGTGATTTCCTTGTATTTTGATGAGCGCATATCACATGGTGAATGGATTAAATTTATACCATCGTAAGTTTTGCTCTCCAGATTTGAGTTTGTAAGATTTCGATATAGACAAATATTCAAGCCTTAATTTCTCCACTATTGCTATCTTTCTGTCTTTTGAGGAATTTCAGATAATCATGATTTAATGATGTTCTGGAAGCAACTTTATAACAAAAAAATGATAATCTCATTTTTCAGCCCTGTGAATGATATATGTTTGAAAGGAGAGAATGAATTAGGAAGATGTAAATATATTGCAAAAGACTGGTGCGTCATCAATCCAATTTATCCTACACGACCGTACAGGACTATCGTTTCGGTAACTGTCCCAGCTGTTGCAAAACATTGATTCAAAACAAAGGATTTTCAGTATTCAACTGTTCCAAAATGATTCGAATCTACTGCCGTTTTTTAATAGTTCAGCATTGATGTTGCACTGTACTGAAATGATAAAGCAGAATTATTGCGGAATATACTTGAATATACTCCAGGTAAATTATTTCTTTATCAGTGTTTTTTCCTTTTTTCAGGTACAAGTGAGGCTTTTTATACCAGAAAGTTATCAACATGGTTCATCAAATTTGTGGGCCGAATTTTTTGGCACAGTTTATGATTCGTTGGGACGAATTGCCGAATTTGGTCCTTTAAATAACATTTTAGGACGATGTCTTCTGGTTCGAATAATGGAAATGAAAAGTGATTGTGACACCATCAGTAATTGGGTTGTACATAAAGTTTTACAAGTTTTTGAGGTTTGTAGATTTTGTGATGCATAAGAGCACATTATATTCTTTTATAATTCATATGTGTTTTGATGATAGTTGCTCTGCAATGTGCCCAATTATCTTTTTGATATAATAAGTTGTGGATTTCATGGAATATGCCAGCTTTTGGAAACTTTATGTAATGTCAACAAAATACTTCGTTTTGATTAAGTCATAAATTTTGATAGGAAATGAAATGAGCTGATTACTGAAGAAATACATTACTTTTTGGATTACTTTTTAAATAATATACTACAAAAATGTTTAGTAACAGCAGAATACATACTGAGTTATATGATAATAGCTTACTTTTTTTGCAGAATAAGGAGTCATTGCCCAGTCTAAAATCTCTATCATTTGCTGCTGATGCTTTGAGATATATGAATGAAAATTTGCGTATCCGTACTGCAATGAAAAAAGTAGACTGGAAGCTGGTCAATCAGGTGAGAGAACCGCATCTTCTTTCAGATGACGTTTTAGAACATCGGCATTAAGCAGAGGCATCATTTGCTCATCAACTTTTCGTCTTTTTCATATTCGATTGTGTAATATCTAAACATTTTTACGCTATGAAATGCATTTTTTTTTTTCTATAAATTCAAATAAGCCTTTGTTAGTCAATAAATTATTGGTTACCCTAGTTTCTGGCTGTTTCAAACATCACCACTTAAACGTGATGATTATGTTTATTAGATACTCATCTTCAATTTTTGAAGAAAAAGTATTGAAGGATTCTTTTCTTCTGGTATCGTTTGCGAAATTTAATATAGTTAATGAAATTTCTGTAGCATTTACTTTTGTTCTACTTTTACAGATTAGAAAAAAAGAAATTTGTGAAAGTTTTTGTCAAAGCTTTCCTTCATTTCTTTTTTGGGAAGTAGCAAGCGTAAGAAATTTGAATTTTTAATATTTCTTTTCATTGTAAATTATGTTGCATGTATTCCTGGTTGACATTTTTTCATTTTTTGCAGTCCTGCGTTTTTTTTTTTTTTTCACTTTTATATGTTTTGTTTCTCGAGAATAGCAAATGTGCTCATCAATCACTTAAGTAATTAAAAATTTTGCAGTGGTTATCTCTTTGCTTTGCTCTGAAGTTTCCCTTCAGAAAATTTGCATGAAGGTGACATATTCGCTTCTTTAAACTTCTACAGTCATAGCTTTATTTACTATAATAAATAACAAAGATGTTTTGTGATCCTTCTTGTCCATGTTGTTGACACATTCGTTTCGTTGTTGGCAAACATTTTTGCATTGTTTTGCTTTCTCTTAAAGTTTTTTTTTTTTTTTTTTCTTCGAGTTTTTTTATTAATTACTAATGAACTGGACAGAAAATTAATTCACTTTCATCACTTTATTAAAAGGCAGCTAAAATTCGATACATTCATGTTTGTTCTCTGTACCTTACACTTTTCAATTAATGTAACAATGAATATTTGGACGGAAATTTTCGAAATCACTTCAATTCTTTTGTTATACATGAAAGATTTGAAGAAGACTGACCAGGTTTGCGTTCATTTTAACTAAATAATATTATTGCATATCTGTAAATTGTTATTGTTGTATGTTTTCAAAATGTTGATTATCAGATTTATTAACCTCTTGCATTTTTGCTTCTCATTGATTTCTGCTTTTGATTAATTTGATAGATTATTTATCTTTGTAGCAGATTTTAAGGAAATTCGATATTTTTTTGAAAGTAAATATTGAATTTTCTAAACTGAGCCGAAATATCGTCTTTGCATAGTCTAAGGTACCCCTCTACTAGCACATAATTACCCATCATTGGTTACATCAAATAGTTTTTTTTTTTTTAAATTTATGTTGAATATTTATGATTTTGCCTGATGAAAGATAAGGCGTAGCTAATTTCTAAATGAACCAAGTTTGGCTTATCAAAAATCGGTGCAGATTGTAAGTAGTCGAGTTCATTTTATGGGTTCCATAGCTTAAAAGTGTTTTGTTATGCTTATATCTGGTTAGATGATGGGTAATTTTGTGCATCAGTGGGTAACTGAGAGAATAGCTCACAGGTAGAGTGCTTCGTTTACATCAGAGGGTTCGTTTCCCCCATACCTCCATTGGAAGTGTTTTTATTCAGATTGCCGGGTAGTTAAGGAAGGAAGCTAGAGCATCAGAATTTGAACAAAATACTTCTAAATATGCAATGGAATTAGTTTACCGCTGAGCTACTAGTGGATATGTCAGATATTCATTTATGTTTTAAAAATGTAATTGATTGTTATTACTCATTCATCCTTTGTTTTTATTCATTTCATTAAACAAATGAAATTTTCTAATAAAACACGTAAATGATAGAGATTTGTTAAAAGAATGTTTTTTGCCAAAATACTTTAAACATTCTTGTCATATGTTTATAAAATTTCTTCATTTTTCCATCAATCACACATTAGCTTCAGATAGTTAGTAAGTCGACTAACTCAAGATTTATCTTTGTATGATTGAATTAAGTAGGCAAATTCTTTGAAAGTTTGCTTTTTTTTCTTAACTGTAACATTACTCATTCGAAATTTATATCTTTGATTCATGCGCCACTCTCGAATTTCAGCATATGTTTCAATAGATGTAATTCTCATTTGATTTTATTCGTGCTGGTTTGCAATATATTGAATCTACATTGATCACATAGAATGAGTGGGCATTCAAATGCAAGTTCATTGGAAATTTTGCAAAGGATTGTTGAAAATTACAGTATACCACATAAGCACCTTGTACAGCTTATCATTAAACATGGCATCTTGCAAGTAAGGTTGATTATATATTCCTTGGTTATAGTTTTAATTCATTACTGTTTTCTGTAGCTATGATGGATTCATGATTTACATCTGATCTTAAAATATCATTAATATATAAATAAAATAGTTTTTCTTTACAGGCTCATTACTTCTATATGAAATTTATTCAGTATGTCCAAGTCTATGATTCCCAGGGTAAATTATTTTGAATTTGACATGATAACAAGATTCTGTTATGGCAGTAATTGAGTTAAAGTATATTTTTTATCCTCTTTTTCTTCCTTTAATATAATGAAGCCTATGCATGACTTCTCAAGAGTTCTGTACTTTACCAGATTTTATTAATCTACGTAGAGATAGTAATAGCATACTATCCCATGATTTTTATATTATCAGACTAGATGCATAAGTTTTCAGGTAATAGTGTTACTCAACCAGATGATGAACAAGAAAAAGCACTTACTGAAAAGTTAATAGTGGTTATCAATAATGCTCTAAGTTTACTTAAACTTCGACTGATACAAACAAACGATGAATATGATGACCAGAACAGTTATATTGTATTGGTGGGCTTGACATGAAATTTTTACTCATTTCAGTGTCATTTTTGGATATCACTAACAAGATTTTAACTCGAATTAATAAATTTAATGCATCAGCTGATAAAAGTTACAAGTCGAACTCATAGTAAATCATCTTCTGATCCTATTATTGATTATTGACTAAGTGGTTTATTTGTTGTTTCAGCTCAGCGACCAAAGATCAAGTGATTTTTTACGTGACGCATATGGTTTAACGCAAACCGAAATTACGCTCTTCCATTTGTGGGTAAACGCTATTTGCAACAGTGAGAATGGTGAAATTTCGAAACACGAAGCATTATCGATCGCTTCAAATTTATTAGTGAAGGTTTGCACATGACTTTTTATATCGAGAGTTTTCAATTTATTTTATATCTGAGTCGATACTGTATTTTTTTTTCAAAGTATCTCATCACTTTTTCCAGTTATATGTCACATTTTTTATCCCTTCCTGACTTTATGGTTTCAGATTCCATAATAATATAAATAAAAAGCAAACTTTAAAATTCGTGCATGCTTTGCAGGGCAAAAAAGTAGATGAGGAGCATCTTCTGCAGCATTACATTTCAAATAAATGGCTAGTGATGGTATGTCATTTTTTCAAAGTCTTTTGTTACTTTATTGGGTACTTTTTTGAATTCATATTCAAAAATATTCTTGATCTGACTTTTATCATAATGTGAAAATCAAACTTACTCGCCAACTTGTTTCGGAAATGGATACAAAGAATTTAAAACATACGAAGTTTGCGTGATGTTGCTCAGCTTATAATTGATATTAGAAATTTTGGAATATTCAAAAAAAAAAAAAAACCTAATTGATGATTTATCTACAATATTTTCTCATTTTCTTAGGATAGCGAAGAAGCAACGATCCGCTTGGGTGCCCGAGGAATTGCAGAGTTACAAAATTACTTCAGTTCATATGCAGATGAACTCCAACTTGAAAAATGCGTTATATGTGGCAAATTTATAGTTACGAAGAACCGAGCAATTTTCTGCAAAATGTGTAAAACTTTTTCTCACAGGCAGTGCTGTTTGAAGTTGGTTTTTGTAAAAGTCATATATTTTGCTTGTTCAACTCCTTTTTAGCATAACTAGTTTCAATATCAAATTGATAAAGAAATTTGTGATTCTTTAATTAATTACTGAACCACTGAAAAAGTAGGTTAAAATAACTGAGATTTTATTTCCTGAATAAAATTATCCCTTAATAGGTTCGGGAAGTTAAACTATGCTTAAAAATGATGCCCGAAAACTTTGTACTATAAAAGTTAAAAAAAAATTTTGTACTATGAAAAAAAAACTATTTTGTACTATGAAAATTTTGTACTAAACTTTGTACTATAAAAACTTTGTACTATAAAAGTTTTCGGGCATCATTTTTAAGTATAAAAGAACTATAAAAGAAGCAAGATGATGACTTCATCTTGCTTATGTCGTAATAATTTATTTCCCACTAATGCACTTTCTTTTCACGCAGATAAGAATTTCGCAGTTTGTATACATTAGACAAATCAGATTTGCTTTTGCCAATATTCGAATTTCCTAATTTATAGAATTATGAAATCCGTAGGAACGGGAAAAGTTTTGTGTCCTGGTAAATTGGAATCTGGTGAACCATGCACTGCAGAACTTCGTCCACCTGTCGAAATGCAAAGCGTGAATCAGAACCAGAAAGGTTTTTTTTCCTATTGTTTACTGCAACAAAATGAAATGCATCTTTCAAAGTGCATACTTTAATAAGTGTTTCTGAGTGTATTGTTACCAAATGGAGTTAAAATGAGTAAATATTTATGTGCTGGTAGAATTAAAATTATGCAAAACTTCTTTACAAAGATTGTGCTCATGTCTATAGTAGCTATAATAATTTTCTCACAAGTGTTGCTAACTTCGCTTCCGTTTAATGTAAAAATAACCAAGTTGCTTTAAAATTATCCAAGAGCTTTTGAAATACTGAAATTTGTTGGAAAATGGTACCTGAATTTTATAGTAATCACAGTAAGGTTGTAGCATAGCCGACCTTAGTAAAAAACAGGTGAGCTTGAAAAAATTTAAGTTATACGAGAATACTGACTTTTTTCGATTGTCTAATTTTGTTAACATTTAAAATCATATTCAAAAACTTTACAGTATATTCCAGGTAATCGTAAACGTCATATTGTAACTGACTCTGATGAAGAAGAAGATGAATATGATGTCGCTTTTTGCAGTGCAGAAGGATTGCATGATGTAGAAATGCAACCTTAGAAAATTTTTATTCCTTTTCAGGATTTGTCGATTCCTGTCTGATTCTGTACTCAGTGGATTATAAAAATCTATGTTATTGTTTCTTTTCTTGTGAATAAAGTGTTTCATGTAATGCAAAATAATATATCAGATCTGAAACAACAGTGACTAAGATGGAAAATGCGCATGTCTCAATGAATCATAAAATAAGGATTGATACCTCAGTAATACATATATTTGATCGTCAATCAAATACACAACATTAATGATAGTTCTTTGAAACTATATAACAATAATGTTATAGTAATATATTTTTACATTAAAACTCTTTTATGATGAAGGTTTCATCCGTAGTGTTGAAGTTTATTTGGAGAGGTGAAAATAATATACTGAAAACTTTGTATGTACGATATGACTTTTGAATTTTTGTCATCGTAATGAATGTTCCATCTTTTCTACATTGTCTGCTAATACATTAGTTCTACTGTTATTTTCTCCAAACGATTAGTTTTACAGGTTTGCCAGTTGAGAACTTATGGATTTTAGAGAAGTCGATCTAGAAACGGTAAGTTATTCCTTTAGAAACGGTAAAAAAAAGTTTTAAAAGAAGCGAAGATGGTTAACTTGTCGATAGTTTTTCCATATAAGTGAAATATTTGGCAAGATAACGGAAATTTCTTGAAATATAATCTACAATATAAATGATTCAATCTCAGCATTCTTGTTATGTCTTATAAATCAATTATAATCTTTTAAATGATCACCCGTTTAGGTACAATAACAATGAATGAGGAAAATATTTATTTGAAAGTTTGAAATTGTTTCACTGAAAAATCTTTGCTTCTTTATACCATTCCTGTTTTCCTCTCTTGTTATAGGACGCTGATTGAGAATGTATTAGAAAATAAAGTAATTGATATAAATTATCTACTAGATATCTGTAATAAGTTCTACAATAAACAAACATTTTTTTTAAAAAAAAAAAAAAGATTTAAAATAAAATTTCTTTTCTGATTTAACGATATTTGTTGGAATATAATGAACTATTCCGAATCAAAAATGCATCATTTATTATTGAAACGATGTAATTATCACACTTTCTGATGAAAGGTTCTGCACTTTTATCAGTAAAACAAAACCTTAATGTTTCAGCCAGCTGGTACTTTGGCTGATTCATTGGCTCAAATATTTTTAATGACAACTAATAGCGAACTGCGACAGCAAGCTTATCAGATGGTTGGTGTTGATAATAATCGTGATTTTGCTCTCGCTGTCGAGGCACGTCTCAATGAATATTTTCAAGGCAAACAGCGTAAACTGGATCGAAGGTTTACATGTTTTTCCAGCACTCTTATTATGACAATAAAAGATTACTGGTTTCGGAAAGCGGAATGATACGGAAAATGTTTATTTACTTAAATTAATATTTTGCATTTAGGAGATTAAAATATGCTAAATAAATTAGGAAGAAATAACATGCATTGATTTGTAAAGGAATTTCTTAAAACTTTATGAAGCGTAGAATAATCTAACAATTAAAGGATCGAATGAGATATATCATAGTTATACTAAATATTTTCTTTTTCCTATTATTTACTTTTTGTTAATATCAATTTTGAGATCAATTTTGCAAATACGGAAAGAGAAAGATAATGCAAGTATAATTTTGGAACACTTCTTGAAAACCGCAGGTCTACCTCCGGATGCTGTAAAAAAGTTCTGCTCGAAGAAGTAATTTTCTGCTCCGCAGAGTTTTCTTACTTTTACAAGAATTTTTCAATTTCTTTGATGTTTTCTTTATTGTTTAAAATATGTTTTGCTTCGCTGTTATTACCAAGATTAGGAGAAAATGATACTTTCTACTTAACTTCAAATTGAAGCTTTCTCACTCATATATGGAACTAACTCACTATGAGTTCTACATTGGAAGTGTTTTTTCCTATCTTTTTTTTTTTTAATTTTAATTGCATTTTAATCTCTTCTTGTTTCTCGATATCTTCTGATTTTATTGTTATTGTGTTACTGTTTAACAAAAAACTTATAAAATTTGACTTTGTTCTTTCAGTTTAAGTACTCGAATTAAAATGCTCGAAAGAAATGTAAATCAAAGAAGCTTTTTAGAGAATTATCTGGTTTGTGCATTAATTTATCTCTTTTTTTAGTTAATATTTATCTCTAAATTTTCAGTTATTCATTCTGTTACTAACTTTTAACTATCTGAACTGATAATTTTTTTATATTCTTCGAATAGTTTTTTTTTTTTTTGCTTACTATAAAACTGAAAATTTTTTAAAATTAATTGATAATTAATTGCCCTTTCTTTTTGTGATAACGTTTTTTTGCCTTTGTTAAAAGAATAGATAGATAAAAAAAGTTTTTACAAAAAGTATTCCTTTTCACTTCGGCCAATTGAATAATTATCCCATAATTAAAAACAAGGGTAGGGTTTGAATTTTCTTCCAATTTTTCATCTCCACATTGGCTGAAAGCTGGACAGAAGCGCCTTTTCTAAGTAAATAAGTAAAAGTAAGTAAATAAGTCTTGAGTTTGAAAACATGTGTTATTGGGAAAGCTCAACTTTATGTGGATTTCATTTTTTCTTCCAGTGAAATTATTAAGTTATATTTTTGGAAAGAATAAGACTTTTATGATCCGTCATCTCTAATAGATTTAAGATAGTACTTCCACAAATATTTGTGTCCATTTTCCGTGGAAAGTTATTTTTTAAAAAAAAAAAAAAAAAATATTCATTACAGTGAATTATGAATTTGTTTTAATGTTTTATTGTAAATTCTGAACAAATTATCCATGAAAGAGTATGACTTTATGGTTAATTCTGGTTAGAAATGTAAAACACTAAAGTTATATTACTTGCAAATATGAATTAGAAAGTAACATTTGAATATGTGACATGAATTCATGAAAACATATTTGATATTATCTCTGATCTGAGAAATATCTTAAATTGTGTCATTCAAGTAATCCATCATTTTTTTTTTTTAACAAGATGTAGAAGGTTTTTCATAATAAAAAATAGTTTGCAAAACTTTAAGAATTCAAAATTGAGTTTTTTTTTTTTTTTCTTTCAACTACTTGACTAGCATCTATCACTGAAAGTGCAATTATCCATGTCATAGTTAATAAGAATTTTAAGAACTTAAAGCTATGAGTCATTTTATCAATTATTGTATAATATCAGTACAAAAACTCACTGTTGACTTTAATATAAATAAGAAGTAATCATTTCTTGTGTTTACTCTTATATAATCATGTGATACATCGTAAAAGATAGTAAAATACTAGTATTTAGGCTGATAAGTAGTTAGATATAAAGACCAAAAATTGAGGTTGCATTCTTAGTTTTAAGTTTTGTGCAACACAAGTAAATAACTATATAAAGGAGATTATTAACCAGTGAATTATTTATTTGGCTTTGTTAGGAGAGCTTCATTACTGAATTTCTCAGGTAACATTTGCAGATAGAGATGGCGAATAATAACTCTTCGAACATTGATTCTTCTATCCCTGGACGCCAAGGTTATTTTACACTATCTCTCGTGACTGTTGCAATAGAGTATTTGTTCATATTTGTCACATTCCTCTTTTTTAAACTATAGAAATATGGAAGAATAGTATCATTGATTAGTTTTGCTGACAAATGGAAGTTAATCAATTATAAACATTACTGGAAGGGAATAGAAATTAGTAGTGTACTTCACAAATTAACGATATATCTCAAAAATTTCTTTTCCTCAAAAATTTCTTTTCCTTAATTTACTATATTTAGATCGGAGTAAACGAAAACAACTTGACTTTCTCAAAGCTGGTCCATCTATTATTCGAGATGAATTTTCCGCTTCCAGTGAAGACGAAGTCTCGAATATGTTATTATCAAAGGTAATGCTACTCATCAATAAAGTTTTTTTTTTTTGAATAAAATTTTTATTCCTAGTCTCTTCTATATTATCATCTAGTTGTCCTCTCTCTCTCCTACATCTCTACAAATAAAAATTCAAGTTGGATTTAGAAAACTGTTAGCGGGATTAATTTCTTACAAGTAATCCATGTTTTGTGTTATTTATCCATTTATTTGTTGCAGAAGCAATTGTCATCTCAAAGCAAATCATTTCATTTTCCAGGTAAATATTTTTTGATTTCTTAAAAAATATACTTGCATTAATTCGAAAAAATTTTTTATGGATCTCAAAAGTTTTTTTTTAGACAAATCATCATTTTAGATCATAAATATGTGTTACAGCTAAAGTGGATAAGAGGGATGAAATTGGAAGGGAGAAGAATCTAAAGCCTTCCTATAATTCAATGGATTTTGATGAATTTTCCGATTTTAATGATGAATTGGAGATAGAAAATCATCCAAAGGTTAGTTTTATAAAAAAGAAAAAAAAAATGAAAAACTTTGGAAGATTTTTGACTAAAAATTTTTTTATAATGAATTTTATAGAATATATAATGTTTTCTAGCTTGATGCAATGAAAACGAACGAGAAGAATCAATTTTCGAACTATCGTGAGTTTCACAAATTAATTCACTCATATGCTTCCTCATTTTTAGAAGGAAATAGTTGGATCATATTTCAAGGTTGTGATATCAAATTATTATATTATAGTAAGTAGCTACTACGATTATACTGTCTTTAATAGTTGGCTAACAAAAGATAATGAAAAAAAATCTATCACGCATCCACTAATAAATTTGTTTGAGCAAATTTTCGAGAATTTGAAATTTGACTTTTTATAGTTGATGCTGAATTCTCATCGTCCGATGATACTGAATTTTCGTCAACTAATGATTCTGATTTTCCACGGTCTAAAGAAGAATCAGTAACGGCGTTCAAAAATGTTACTTAGGTGGTTAAATTTCTAAAGTTATAATATTTCTCTTTTATCAATCAAATTTGTATTATTTCTTGGTTTAACTCTTTAAATTTCACTGTTAAGATAGCTGTCTAAAACTTTAATTAGTATTTTATATTCTCTTAGCTATCTTTCTTAACTTACTCTGCCATTTATCTTAATCGTTATCATTTTCACCAGTGTCAATGTTAGTTAATTTTTCTTTCACTTCATTCATTAGTATTAATTCTAAAATAAATAAGATATAAAATATTTTATGCCAAACTAAAACGATTTTTTTTCGAAATTAAAAAAAAAAGTCTGATATTGTTCATTAGGTTAGAGTATTAATTAATGTTATAAGTTGAAATGAAATGTAAAGCAAGCAAAGCACTTTTCAAATTATTTACTTTTTTAGATCCTGAATATCAGTTTCATACCGGATTATTTTTTGAAGATAGCATTTCTGCATTGGTAAGTAATTTTTTTATGGTGAACTTAAAATTACGGAATTTGTATTAACGGAAAGTTACTGCTTCATAAGTTCTGTAATGGTCTTTGTTGAACCCAACAATGTTTCTTTTTTTTTTCCTTTTTCCCATAAATTATTGAGTTATGATGGATTATATCGTATTTCGGATATTTGGTTGTGATAATTAAATAGCAAAGAAGAGCAATATTAATATCTGTTTTGTACGACTTTTATAAGTTTCATTCCTGAATTGTATAATTTTCAGAATACTAATTCAGTTCAGAATTCATGTCGAAGAATCAGATTATCATTTAAATAAAATATCATCCAAAGTTTTATCCAAATAAATGTGTAAAAAGTGTAAATATTCGAGTGTTAAGCTCTTTTTTTTTTCTTCCTTTATCAATAATATAGTGATTCAAAAACTGCTTGAAGAATTAGTAATATTCAAAAATACAAAAATCTTTTTGTCAAAGGACAAATATTGTTTATTTGTTAGTATTGATGATGCAACTACATATATTAAAAAGTAAATGATGGTATTAAATACAAAATGAACGAAATTCATATGAATAAATGATTTATTAGACGTGGCAAATTGTTGTTTATTGAAATTAATAAGCTCAAAGAAATTTTAAAAATGTTTCTGATTCAAAGATTAGCAATTCGATGAGAACGACGAATTAAACAGAATGTTTTGATGATTGGTATTTCATTACATCATTCATCAAATCATTTCGTTTAATTTAATTAATTTCTGTGACTACTGAATTATCCTGAAATCTCAGTCTTGTTGTATTAATGATAGTTATAAGTTTTTCCTTTAACTGTACTATCTTATTTTAATGGCTTTCAAAATTTTGAATGCATCGATATCTTAATTATTTGCATCCAATTTTAATTGCTACAGAGAGTTAGTCTTTTCCTCTTGAACTTTGTTTAAATAACAAAAGTTGCAATACCTTATTTTATAACTTTAATTTGCTTGCCTATTTCATCTAGATCGATGCATTCGTTCATTTACTATTTTTGTTTATTTGTTTATCTATGTTCTTCTTAAATTGTTTTATTAATTGATCTCAAAATGATGCATTTTTTAAATGTTGTTCTGTTTTTGATTAATTCGAAGTAATTGTTGCTATTCTTGAAAGTGAACACATCAGTAAGAATATTTTTGTCTTCAAGATTGTTCAAAAAAAAAATAAAATTTGGTTCAATTCGTTCATCTATGATAAAGACAGCATTATGAATATTTTTTTTTTGTTTTTTTTTTCCTTAATGAAATGCTAATTATGATACATAAAGAAGTAAAAACATAATATTTATCATAAAATTAATTAAGTTTATGACAGTCTTATAACTCCTTCTTCGTTTCACTGTTCTAATCTGAGATTTAATTGCCTTCTTCTAAGTAGTTTTATCTTCATTTTCAGACTTATTTGTAGGGAAGAAAAAAATTAGTTTTCCTCGCTTCTGAAACTGCTCAAATACTATCATATTTATTTTATTCAATTTAAAAAAAAGGAAAAAAAAAAGAAAAGACGAATTCATACTTCTATAAATAAATGGTGTGATCTCTCCTTGATTTCTTTCAAAAGATCGAATTGGAATTAGTAGTGGTACAGTCAACCTAATTAATTAATCAAATCATGGATGAATCAATTTCAACTGCAAAATCAGGTAAGTATTTTCGTTAAGTTATAAGAAAATGCTCTCCGCGATATTATGATATAATTTGATTCTTTGTTTATAAGTTGTAGTTTCGTAGATCTTAAATCATTTTATCAGTTAATTTTATCATATATTTGTTGATATAACTGATAAAATACCTGTTTTTTTTTTTCTTTTTTAATTCCACTAGATTTGGTTATTAAATTTGGCTTCAAATTTTGCTTTATTTCTTTTCAGTTACACAAATTATGAGAGATTTTCTGAGTTGGCCAAGACGACACGAAATGCACAATGAGCCAATAAACAGTGGCGCTTATGTCTTAGGTATTGCTGGCTGTTCAAACAGCGGTAAAACAACACTTTCAAAAACATTATCTACTACTGTAAGATTTGTGATAGAGATTTTTCTCAATTAATCTTTTGAGGACAAAAAGCCTATTTATTTAGAATTGTATTCCATAGAATCATTCAATCTTAAATTGTCTTTTAAAATCATATGAAATTAGAAAATGTTAAAATTAAAGTTTTACAAGAGTAAACTTTTTTTTTTTTCAAAAATTTTACAAAGATAAAGAAAAGTACTCTTTATTAAGAGTGAGTACTTTAAGATTATTTGTTAGCATTTTACCAGTCGAATCCTATAATCTTTAAATAACAATTATAAAAGTATTACTTATGAATTGATCCTGCATTATAACTAAATTTAAAATTTGAATATAACATTTTTTCTATTGTAATCCTTGATTAAATGCGAAATTCTAATAAGTTATAATTTTTCAAGCTGATTAAAGAAGGTATGCGAGTAGCAGTGCTTCCTCAAGATGCATTTTATTATCCGATGGAACAACTGGAACGTGTCGTCAGCCGCTCAAATCCAGAAATTATATTTTATAATTATGATACAATAAATGCGGTATATTTAAGGCTAATTTAATTTATTTTGATATTTTAAGGCTTTCATTAATTTATTTTGAATGAAGCACTGGATCAAATTTGAGGATAATTTTTACATTCAATTAAAACTTTACTTAATATTTCAATTGTCATGCAATATTTTTCAAAAACCAAAAAGTTTCACTATTTTTGAAATAAATTAGTTTCATTTTTAATACTAACATTTTCACTTAAAGTCATCAATTTTAAACATCTTATCTCTTATTCAATAATACTGCGTGTTTTGTTCCGTAAAATGATGATGGATGGAAGTTAGTAAGATCTTTTGAATCTTTTTTTGGAAGATTTAGCAAAAAATAATAGAAATATTTTTGTTTCAGTTATAAATCTTATAATCAGAGAAATATATGGGCGATACCTGAAAGTTTAATTTTTATATTTCATTTAGAATTTATTTCAGTTGGATATGCAGAAATTTGTGTTAAATGTACAAAAAGCAATTACTGAAAATGATTTTGTGATTGCTGAAGGGAATATGATAATGGAAATTAGTAGTTTGCGCCAGCTGTTACATCGATGTATTTTTATTACATTAAATTATAGTTTGTGTGAACAAAGACGCACAGCTCGTGAATATAATCCTATGGACTTACCTGGGTATTTTTTTGCAATTTTTTTTAGGGTTTAAATCTCTTAAAGTCATGATATTTGTGATTTTCATTCTGTAAGAACAGCCTAGATTTTTGAAATTCTTTGAAGAAATGCGCGTTTTCATCTTAAAAAAAAAAAATTGAAAATAAGTTTTTGATTTTAGTTTTTTGGAAATTAATTGCTAAATTTGTCCTTCAATTTTTTCTTAAAAAAAAGAGAAAAAACCTTTCAACTTTTCATTATTGACTCATTAATTACTAGCGGTGGATCCTGGTAGATAAAAAGTATATAGTTCGGTTCGGTAGCAATATCTTGAGTCAATCCAAAATATTTACATGACTTTCTTGAAGTAAAAATTTTCTTGCTGATGCAGTAATTAGTAAGATTAATGATCGTTCATTGTAAGTTAGAAAATAATTCAAAAATTTTTTGAAACATATGAATGAATAAAATGAATGAATGCTGTTCAATAACTTTAAATAATCATTTTAATTGAATTTCAGATACCTGGAAGAAATTGTTTGGCCCACATACAGAAACCATTTAGCTAATGCTTTCAGTCTTGCTCATCATTTGTCAACTATTGTTTTTGTTGATGGAAATATTCAGGGATTTTCTAGCGAATTTGAAGTGAAAATGGTAAATTTTGGGTTTACCTTCATTATATTATATCACAATTGTAAGGGTTTTTATGCAATTTTTTTTTCTCAGTTTAAGAGGAATTTCAATTTTTTCTCTTTTTTTTTTTTTTGATGAGAAAGTTTTGGAATTGAAATTGAGAGTTTTGGAGTTTGAAATTAATCGAGATTTCACAAGGTTCTCTTTTGTTTTAGATGCTTTCAAAACTATCCACAAACTTATTGCTAATTCAAGCCGATGAACTACAATTATCTTATGCACTTGAATTTGTTAATAAACCAAAAAGTGGTGGTATATCAATATTTTTAGGTTAATTTCATGCAATATTTTTAATGTGATAGGTTATGGAATTTTTCACAATTAAATTATCATAAAATTCATATTGTAATTTTTTTTTTTCCTTCCTTTCTTTCTTTTTCTTTTTTGCAGGAACTACAAGGGATAACTTTGGTGACAAAGTGGTTGATCGCTTAGAATTTGAGGCATATGATGAGATGGTTTATAAAGAATTAGATAGATTGTGTTATGAACTACGAAAAAGCTACCCTACAATTGATAGGATTGCATTGTTTCACAGAGTGGGGTAAGTTGTCGTATATTTACATCTATTTATATTTTACTTTTTTTTTTTTTATATTTATATTTAACGGTAAAGCGAAGTTTATTTGTCACATCAAATGCATAATAATAACAATTTATTAGTCTATTAAAGTTAATATTAACAGGCGAATTGTGTATAAATAATTTGTTGAAATTCTGAAGAACTTGTAAAATGTTCTCAATTAGTAATTTTTGAGTTAGAATTGAATTTTAATTAATTAGAATTATCTTTTGTCGTGTGACAGATAATGAAACTCAATATTAATAAATTCTACCGTGTTGTTTTATTCATTCTATCAATTGCCATCTTTCTTTTGCTATTTTCTCACTTTTCTTTCTTTTTTTTAACATTTCATATATCCATTTTAGAAAAGTATTTGTTGGCGAAGCATCAGTAATAATGGCTGTAAGTGCACCGCATAGACAAGATACATTTCGAGCAACTGAGAAAGGAATTGATTATTTGAAAAATCGAATTCCTATTTGGAAAAAAGTGAGAAAATTCTATTTATTAAATTAAATAGAGCAGTAATGTTGTCATAGTATTCATTATTATCCACCAATAATTGCAAGTTTAATTCTTTGATAGATTTATTTTAAAATCTGGACAGGAAAAAGAGCATAAACCAAGCTTTTTAACAATGTTTTTTCTTTTTGGATAACTTTTGAACATTGTAGAAGATATATATTATTTTCATTATATGCTTAAATCTAATTCTATTTCTGTTCTGCAATAAATTTTGAAGCTATTGTTTTAAATTTTTTTGTAATCGTAATTTTCTTTTCCAATTTAAGGAGGTCTATTCGGATGATACATATTGCTGGAAAAGAAATTCGTAATAATTTAACTATTGCTGGAAATCAGTTTATATTAGGAATATTTGGTTTTCACACTTGTATTGTGTAATTATTTTTATAGCTATTATTTTAAATTTAGTCATTATGAATTTACTTTACTTTTTGAAGTAATGGCTGTTTCTGCAGTTTTTCAAATCATTTTCAATTTTCCATTCCTACGGTACTAAATTTGTGAAGTAAATATTGTGATCTAGATTTTATTACTTGATGGCATTTCAACTATATTAAAATTCTTTGAACAGTTCGGATGGCATTAACGAAATATGCTAAATTTGAGAGTAATGGGAAAGAGAAAGAATTAATAAGGATTAAGTTAAGTGTTGATTCAGTAAAAGAACTTTTGTTTATTTATTTTTTTTTCCGACTGCTTGTTTATTAATGTGAAACTTTTTTTCTTTCGCTCATATTTATCTCTTTCTTCCAAACACATATCCTCAACATTTCTTAATGTTCTGTTGAACTTTTACATTTTGAATTTTGAATTATTTGTGAATGAATATCAAAGAAATATACCTCCTAATTGTTATTACCTTAATCGGCTTATCATTACTATTATTCATTTTTTATTCTCATTTCTTATTTTTCATCATTATCAGATTTGTATCTTTTGTTTGAGGAAATAATGGTTTTTTTTTTTTTATTTTTCTTTTTAAGAACAAATTACAATAAATTTTGCTCACGTTTATTTTGGATTGCTGAAAGTGTAAAAATGTTAATTTGATTGAAATCATTTTTGTACTAATAAGAAGTCTAGTAAAAGTAGGGTTAATAAAGCTTAACTAATTTTTCTCAATTTTTAGACCATTCCTATTATGACATTTCATCAGATGTAAAATTCGAGTTGACATAGACTTTACGTCGGAACAGTAATAGTTAAAATTGCTGAATAGTAATAGACCTTACGTCGGAACAGTAATAGTTAAAATTGTTGAATAGTAATAGACTTTACGTCGGAATAGTAATAGTTAAAATTGTTGAATAGTAATAGACTTTACGTCGGAATAGTAATAGTTAAAATTGTTGAATAGTAATAGACTTTACGTCGGAATAATAATAGTTAAAATTGTTGAATAGTAATAGACTTTACGTCGGAATAGTAATAGTTAAAATTGTTGAATAGTACTAGACTTTACGTCGGAATAGTAATAGTTAAAATTGTTAGATATCTTAAATAACACTCTCAAATAGCAAAAACAATACAGAAAAGTAAGCGAGAATCTGAGAAAAATGATCTAATAAACCCGCAAATTGATCTTTTTCCATTAGGATTTGTTATTTGACAAATTGCAGTAGTCTTTTATAAGTTTGTGTCAGTGTTAGATTAATAATTTGCGCTGTAAAAATCCATTAAAAGTTTGTGGGTCAATTTTTATATTTCAAAAGTTGGCTAATCAAATGGAACTTAATGATTTGCATGTAAAGCTTTTATATATTTAAAATATTTAAATCATATTTATGAAAATTTATAATTGTTTCTCACCAATGGTTAATTTTACAAGCATTAGAGAACTGTATGAGCACATACGGCTTTTGATGTTAAATTTTTCGAGTTATATCGTAAATTAATTTAGTGGAAAATTATTTAAATTATAAGTAATAAACTTGTATAAGTAATTACAAGTGAAAAATTTGTCTTTCTAATGCACTTCAAATAAGATATTTCTGATTTTCTTTTTTTCTTTGTTTTTTGTTTAATCAAGTGGAGAAAGTAAGTGAAGTATTTAAAATCTAATTGTTAAAATCCAATTATTAAAAAGCGGAAATAACTTGTGAGAGAAGTAAGCAAAAAGGAAGAATGACGATATGCTATATGTATAAATGTATGAATAAAGTTGTTTCATGAAACTTTTTCGCAAAAGATTTATTTAAGATATCCTGAAATCCTTCACCAGTATAAGAAAATGCTGAACATACAATCAGTTAATTTGAAATGATTATCAATCTGATAACAAAATGAATCAAACAGATTGATTAAACTTCATCAAGTGATTCTCATATTTTTTTTTTTTTGACTGACAATAATTGCAAAATTATGATAATTATAAAAAAAAAAAAACAATGGATTTGAAAATTTGCAAAAAAAAAAATGAAATATTTTTTGTTTTTTCAAAATTTCAAAACTTAAAAACACTAGTTAACGCGGTTTACTCAATGACTTCACATTTATGCCAATCACTTTTTTCTTTCTTTCATCAATTCCAGGTGGTACCAAATAATATACATCAATTATGGAATTGTTCAAGCAAAAAAACGATGAATTTTTTAAAAAAAAAAAATGAAATATTTTTTGTTTTTTCAAAATTTCAAAATTTTAAAAACATTATTTGACGCGCTTTCTCAATAATTTCACATTTATGCCAATCATTTATTTTTTCTTTTTTTCTTTTAGCAATTTCAGGTGGTACCAATTATAGGCCAATCTATTGTCAACCACTACTACTACTACTACTATTTCTGACCTTCTAGCATTAATTCTTTGCTATTGAATTTTATTTATTCATTTTTTTTTCTGCTAGTTTTAGTAAAAATTTCCTATTGATACATACTTTGAAATGAGTTTGTATAATAAATAAGCCTTTTTCTTCATTCATCTTTTTGCCTACCCTTTTTAAACCTTTCAATTTTTTAAACTAACTATTTTTGCTTAAATATCTCTTCATTTTTAATAGTCTTTTTCTCTTTCTTTAATCCATCATTTCTCATACACAAACATATTTCACTTAGTTTCTCCTATTTACTTTCTATTATTCAGTCCTGATAACTAGAAATAATTTTGCTATTTCCTCTTAAATACTCCTTTTTTTTTTTTTTTCAATTACTACTATTTAGCACTTAATATGTACCTTTAGAAAATGATCAAACACGGTAATTCAGTCAGTGTATGCTTCTTAATGAGTTTTAAAGAATTTTAAATTGCATGAAATGCCTTATTTAAATGAGTAGAAATTAAATGGAGAAATATATGATACACTTTTAATCACTTTTTTTTATTTTTCTACCTACCTCAAGTGCGTGACATTTTCTTATCCATTAAAACAGCATTGTCTCTCTCTCTCTCCCTTTCTCTCTCCCTGTTTTTTTTTTTAATTTTCTAGACCAATTCTTTTAAAGGAAATGACAGAAAATAGACTGAAACATTATTAGCTTCAAACTTTCATTTCTAATACTTTTGTTTTTACTTATCGCAATGATTGATCTCTTTTTTTTTTTCTTTTGAAATTATCTTTCTTAAAAAAAATTAGGAATGAAAAATGTCCAGTAAGCATGCTAAATTTAAATTGCTAAAAATAATTTATGATGTTTTATCAATAAGCATTAATTAACTAATTAGTTAATTAATTAATTATCGTTTTGCTGTTCTTTGTTACTTCTGCATTAACATTCAGCGATATAAGATGAACTATAAGTTAAAACTTATAAAAATTCAATTCAATTATTTTTAATCATTTTGTTATTATTTTAAGCTATTACTTATACATCTTTAACCTTCGTTTATCTTTCTGTAATATTTTTTTTTTTTTTTTAAAAAAGCAACTATTAACATTTTTAGCTATTTTGTATTATTATGTTCAGTGTCAATGACAATTAATTGCAAAAGAATTTATATTTTGCATAGAGCATTAAAATTTGAAATTTCCAATGTTGAAATTATTTGAAAGTTTCAATTCTTTGAAGTGTTTTCTCTAATTGATGAATTTAGAAACTGGAACTGATGAATGACTGTAAATTGAGAAAGTTGAATTCTTTTCAAAATGATGTATAATTTGATGCTAGTTATGATAGTAATGTTTGCTTTGATAAACTAAACTTACCGTATCAGATTGTAATTAATAATAATTATTAGAAAGTTTTCTTCTATTCGAATTATGATAGCATTTATTTAATTTTATGCATCAATTTTGAAATGTTTAAATTTCATTCGATAGAAAGAAGAAACATATAATTGATGCCAAATAATTATTCAATTTTCAATAATCAAAAAGTGATTCTATGTATGATGAAGAATTTATTCAAATAATTTTATAAGTGAAAAGAATTATTATTTTTTTTCTTTTAAAAAAAAGAAAATTGAAATCGAAAATGAAAGCTTTAATAATTGATTGATAAATGATATGAAATTCTACATAAGCACATATATCATAACAGTTTCAAATTAATTTATGACCACAAACCACTTGCAAATAATTTATTCATTTTTGGATTAAAACTGAAAAATAGTTTAACATTTAGAATTGAAAATTTAAAATAATGCAAAAAAAAAAAAGTTTAATGCACTATATGAAAAGATTGTGCATAAGCTAAATTTAAGTATGCTCAATTTACTAAATACTAATGTAAAAAAAGTGAACATTTCTCTGAAAACATGAATAAAGAAAGTTCATGATACTTTATATCATTTTAAAGAGAATATTTAAAATAATTGTTGACAATTACTCAAAATTGAAATTTAAATTTTCATACCAAAATATATTTTCATCTGTGTTATTATATTTATTTATTTTAAGGAATATTTCATTTTCAGTTTATCTTTATTTTCAGAAAAATTCTGCATTAAAAGTGACAAAAATTAAAATTAATTGTTGCAAAAAAAAAAAAAAAAAAAAAAAAAAAAATGAATGCGAATAACAACAAACAAATTCATTTGCAAATATAATAATAGTTAACTAAGCTCAAATGAACTATACTCTCTCTCTAACTCTTATGATTTTAGTTTATTGAGCTGAATGAAATGTCCTCCTTAAATTGTTTATTCATGTAAATATGTCATATGTTCCCTTTCATAATGTCAAATGCCAATTTCCATTTATATACCAAAAATTTTAATCTTCTACTTTCTATTATTTAGACGAGTTTCTAAATTCAACTTAAATTTTATGTACATAATATATGAAATTGAAATTAACTATAAGAAATGATTTGCTCGAATTTATTATCTTTGCTATATAATATGCCTCTATGTAAGATATATAACAATTTCAATTTCAAATATTTTAGATAGTTTTTTTCTTAGCTATTTTTTGATATTATTCCGAATGATTTTCCACTAAATTTTCAAAAATTATTGTTTCGCGTTAAATTTTATGTTCATAATTGAGTCAATTCTATTCTTTAGAATAATTCTGAATCCATCGCTTAAGCTTCTGAGAATTTTTTTTCAAGGCATCGTCTAAAGGAGTCTCATTTCCACATGATTTAGTCTCTTTTCCTCCATTCTTTCTATATTTAGCTTTTCATATATTCCTCTAGCTAAAATCAATGTTTTGTTTGGCTAACACAGGTAAACAAAAATTTTAATAATCATCGATTTAAAACAAAAAAATGAAAAAGTTAAAGTTGAATGAAGAAGGTTCTTCTTGCTAAATGTAAATTTATTAATTAGCTGAAGACAGTAATTATCAGAAGTAATATTTGCATAGAAAATAATAAATGTGAAATGAGAATTGGAATATTATTTCGTATATTGAAAACCGCTTTTTGATAGTTTCATTAGTAGCAGTTCTAGCTTGTAATTTTTAAATATTTTTAATAAGTTATTTTAGTGTTACTAAGAGAAAATATGAGATTAATTAATGATTACTTTTTTTTTTCTAGCAGCATACTCATATGAAGAAGTGAATTCATCCTACCAAAAATGTAATTTCCTGAAAAAAATGTTTATTTCAGTTGCAGCTTTTTGATAAATCTTGAAATTGATCAAGTATGAGTGCAAATGGAAAAACAAATTTTAAAATTTAGAATTTGAAAATTTTAAAAAATTTCTTAAACATAACTGATTGTTCAAATTATCATTTCTCGAATTTGATCTATAAATTGAAAATCATTCAATGTTTCATTCGCTAAGCATTAGTTTAGTTCAGCTTAAATGATGACAAGTGTGACTCCGAAACAATTCTCCAATGATTTTCTGTTCAAGCATTCTCAATATATTTATATAAGTACCTCATTTAACGCTACTTATTTGTTCAAAACTTAACAATTAGATTGTAGTTTATTCCATTTAAGCAAATATTACTCATTGTCGTAGAGTTATATCCATGTTTTAGAATTATTAAAATTTTAGAATCAATTATTAAACAAAAAAATTGAAAGGTTAACGGATGATTTTTACCTTTTAAAGGTTTTTGTAAATGAATGAAAATTACAGAGGGATGAATTTCGGGGTGTGAATAGTTGGCTTATCCAGAACGGAAGAGGATGGTGACATGAATGAAGTGAGTCCATCCGTTTCATCCGTTAATACTGATTGGAAGGACCATTGTCATCCGGTTGACTCCTCCCTTTCAACCATCCCTCTCTCTCCCTCTCTCTCTCCCTCTCTCTGTTGACCACATAGGCATTCATTTCACTTCGCTCATTTATTTGAAGCCAATTGATAATGCTTCTAGGCTACACATACCTTTAGATAAATAAATTTTTAATTTATCATTGGAATATTTCTGAGTGATAAGTAACTGATAACAATTCTAACTTTATCATTTTCTTTTGAAATTCATGGTACTACTGATTGTTTAAAAAGCCTTTGAGAATTGTTTCTTATTTTTTCTTTGATATTTCATAGATTATAAGGTTATTATTTATTTATTCTATCGATTGCATCCAAAAATTTCATTTTCATTTTTAAGCATTAAATTTTTCAATTCATTTATGTTTTTTCAAAGTTTACTCATTTTTCAGAACTTTTATTATTGCTAATATTTTCTTCTACTCGAGAATTTCATCTTTCTAAAATTATTCTTAACCAATAATCTCGACTCATATGAAAATATGTTTCATTTAAAGTGGAGTACGAGAAAAAAAAAAAACCTGAATTTATTTAAAAACTTTGCTATGAAAGTGCTCATTTGCTCATTTTTTACTATCATTTTAAATTTTCATGAAGGAATCCGAAAAAGAATTTATAATCACCAATAAACTGAATCGGATTTTACCATAAATATTCAATATGTGTAATAAATGAATAAAGCAATCTAAGTTATAACTAATGCATTTTTTGAATTTCTCTGATATATTTGCCTTACTTATTTCTTATCTTTATTACATCACACAATTACCGTACCTATCCCGGTTTACCGTAACTCAGTCTACTGTAATTTAGTCTAGTCTACTGTAACTAATATAGAAAATTATAAATTTACTGTTAATTCATTGCTTCCACTTCAAAATTTCTCACTTTTTCCATTTAAAGCATCGCTTCATTTATTTATTACTCACATTAAAATTCATCAAATATTTAAGATTGAATTCGATTCAGTTTACTAAGATTTGTAATTTTTTTCTTCATTTTTTCTTTTTCATACTAATTTTTAGCAATACTCCAATATTCATTTACTTATCTTTCCCAAATACAAATTAAATAGTTTAATTCATTTGAATAGAAGATTTTGTAAAGAATGAAGCATTCGACATTATTCATTTATTATTAGTTATTTGCTTAGAAAAAAGATGGTAAATTCATATAATTGAAAAAAAAAAAGCAATTTCAGGATTTGTTATTTCTTGCAATTGGAGTTACTTTATTTCGATTATGGATTATTTGGTGCCTTGACGTGTTATTCTGCTATAAATCCATTACTATTACTTTTTTTTTCCCATTTATTTCACTTCTTCTAATTATATTTACAATCATTGCATTGCCAAAATGTATTATTTCTACTACGATAAGTGATAATATGATAAATGATAATATTATCAATCTACTACTGCCATTATTTATATCATAAATATCACAATTCAATTGTATTCATGTTTATTCTGCTTACAACAAACTGTTAATTCTAAAAAAAAAAAAAGAAAACAAAAAATGCTGTATTTCTGGCTCATTCTTCACCTAAATATCATTTATTTGATTTCAGATATTGGATGTTATCAAGATAAGGTAAAATTTTAGTATTATTTTTTTTTTTTTTTTTTGAAATTAAATTTTCAGGAATGACAATATTTTCTTTGTTAAGTGTTCCAGTGCTTATTACTCCTCCTGATACTGCGATACAATATTTTAGCATTAGTTTATTATGGTACTCTTGAATTATAATAATATTTGATAACAATTATTAGTAGCTTAAGAATTAGCTCTTTTTTTAAAATATGAAATTTTTTAAAGATTACTTTCTGAAATTTCATTTATTTTTTACGGACTCAAAAAAAAAAATTAGCTAAAAGGATAACGAACACATATTCTGATTTATTGTTATATCAAATACCAATTAAATTAGAATTATTAAGCTCAAAAAAAAAAAAAAAAGCAAAAACCGTAAGCAATCAGAATTATGAAGCCATTTTGATTGAATCCATCTGACATTTTATTTTATTTTCATTTTAGTTATATTAGCTCATCCATCACAAATAAATCATTTCATTTTTTTGAAAGGTTGTATATCTAAATTAACAATTCAAAAAATCATTTTGATGAGAAAATAGAGGGTGGATTTTTTTTCTTTCTTTTTTTTGGAATTTTACAATAAACTTTGATTGAAAAAAAAAAAAAAAAACTGAAATGCCATTACATAATTTGTGATCAAAAATTGTTCAACTCAAATGATATTAAATCAGTAAACACAATTATTCTTTCATATTTAAAAAATTTAAATTGATATTTATTTCTTAAATGCTAAAGCAATAAATTCAACTATACTAAAAAAAAAAAAAAAAAAAGGAAAAATGAAGATAGCATAGTGAGATTTTATTTTCTCTACTCACATCTCCATCTGTTCCTTTTTTTCTTCCCTTTTTGTTTTTTTGCTAAGGTGTAATTTTCTAAAGGTATTGAGAAATGTATGATGGATGTTTGTTTCGTTATCGATTCTACCTCTACTTCTGCTGTCAAATATGTTTGACCGATAATCTGAATAAGGTGTCGGTATCTCTTTCAAGACTATCTAATTCATCGTTATACTCTTATCAACAAAAAAAAGCGTTAATTATGCGTATAATATAATGAAACTGTTTCTCTATCATTTTTATTTCTCCTCCATTACTAATATCCTGTTTACCTATAATATTTTTAAAGGTTACTTTGAGTGGATAATTTACTGTAAATTATCGTATGTGAAGATGAGAGAGAGAGAGAGAGAGAGAGAGAGAGGTGAATGGTTTAATCGAATTAATCAACATTCATCAAAATTAAGATAATTTTTTAGATTACATAAGAATGTATATATTGTTTAAGAGAAGAAATTATAAATATGAACTAAAAAAATAAATAAGATTGTAAGCAAAAATAAAAATTTTCAACACAAGACAATTGTTCTTTTTTAATTTTAATAAAAGATTAGTTATATTTAAATTTTATAAAGTTGAATTTGTAACTTTTTTGCAATAAATAGAATAACCAACAATAATAATTTGAGGAAATTCTATAAATCTGAACTGAATTATCTTTCTAATTCTTCTAACAATTGCAATATGCAAAGTGCCTATATCTATCCTGGTCAATATTTAGATTGGTCATTTGAAAATCCATTTGGATTTCTTTCAGCATACAATAAAATTGCGCTTGATTGATTTTAGAAATTTGAAATTCGTAGTTTGAAATGAAATTTTCCATTCAATACTAAATGGAGAAATAATAATTACTGAACATTAAAAGGTATATAGCTTAAAGTTTCATTAAATACAATTTTTTGCTATGCATAAAAATTTAATTCAAATTTCATCTTTAAGCTATGAAATAACTTACTCATTTCAAGTAGAAATTAAATTCATTTAATAATAATAACTTGAGTAAACAATAAATTTTTTCTTTTTTTTTGCGCAAAAAACTTTAAGAAAGTATTTAATATTTGTGAGATATGATTAAGTGATAACTGATAAAGTAATGATAATTGAATATTTAATTTTGTAAAATTGCTATCAACCATAGAACCAAAATTCGTTTTATTTGAATATTAAAATGGTTGAAATTATGGGTTTATTGTTGAAATGGGAAAAGGATTAGAAGTCATTTACGAGAGGCCTTAATAGACACCCGCTGTGAGTAACTGATGCAATGAACCAAAACAAACAGAACAAACGCAACAAGTATATCTAATTGAAGTAAGTAAGTAAGTAAGGAGTAAATGAAGAAGAAGAAGAGAGTTAAAATTTATCAAATTAATTTAACAAGAATAAATATAATTACATTTAAATAGCAACAATGAAATTATGATATAAAATGACAAAATAATAATTAAAAAAGAGAAAAAAAAATGATGATAATTAATTATTGATCTAAATTAAATTAAGCAAAATAATTTTATTTAATAAATTAAAAATAAAATTGCTAGACAGCATTCCAAGATATTTTCTATCTAACAAATAATATGATTAAAAAAAAAAAAAAGAATTTTTTTTTTACTGGAAAATGTAATTGCTTGCAATATGCAAATGAGTAGTGGAATAATTTATTTGTCACCATTGTCTCATCTCAAAAATTGTTCTATCATATTCTCCCGCCATCAATAATTCTATCTCAAAATTGTTTTATTAAAAATACATTAAGTATAAAGATTCTAGTTTTCTGAAAAAAAATTAATCAAATTATGGTTGATCTGCGATGCGCTTGCGATATCGCAAGGATATCGCAACTTTACATTTTTCACTTATTTTTCTTTTAACTAATTAATTTTTTTTGCTAGCATTAGTAATTTTAATTATTTTTAACTATAATTTGATTGTTATGAATTTTTTCTTTCGTTTTTTTTTGTAGCCAAAAATTTTCACTGTTCGATCAGATGCGCCATTAGGATGGCTTATCTCTGACCTTGTTGAAGATGGACATTGTCCATGGTATGGTCATTGCTTATTGCACACCTCAAATCAGTCGCATTATTTTCAAATCATTAATAATAGGTTTGATATTTATTTCTAATAAAAGTGCTACAAAAAAATGCCAAAAAGAAGGAGAAAATCGAATTTTTTGAAATTATTTTGAAATTTTTTTTTGAAATTTTTTTTGTAGAGTATTTATGCTATTCTAATAATCCAATAATTCATCTGATCAAATTTTAAATTTCAAGGTTATGTACAAAAAAATCAATAAGACAGCTAGAAAATCGATCAGTAGCTATTATGATGATGGAAATTACAACAAAACCAGAACAAATATTTATTGTTAATGTGAATATTGCAAGAAAGTAAGTTATACATACCTAAAAATTTCTAAGAAATGATCAAATTGTTGAATGTTTTAAATTTTATATATTTTAAATTTTAAATTAAAATAACTAATACTTCTTCTCTTCATTTTGAAAATTTTCTTTTTATTGAATTTTTTATTTGAATAAAAAAGTTTAAGTTTTATTTGTTAAAATTATACTTTCAGTTCAACGCCATCTTTTTCATTTGATATATACAATATTACCTTGGAAAATGATATCACACCTGAAATGATGATTCCATTTGAAACAGACATAACAATGGTGAATGTATCTAATTCAACAGATCTACAAATATCAATTATTTCAAATTCAACAAATTTACCTTTTATACTCACTCATAACAGGAAGCAAAATATTCATTGTGCAAAGGTTTAAAACTAACTTTGAATTTTTTTTTTTTTAATTACCGATTTAAATGAAGATTAAATAATTTAAATTTCAGGAAAAAAATTTTTATAATGTCAAAAAAAAAATATGAAAATTATATCAATTTTAAGATTTTATGCTTTTTTTCTTTTTCTTTTTTTTGACAGATACTTAAGCTTTTTCTTTTGTCTAATAATTTTTGCGTCAAATTTCAGTTATACGTTTCACGTCGATTGAAGTCAACTGACGAAACTTTTCGATCATTTTATATCGGTGCATTAGATAAGCATAATTTGATTCGTTTGGCGGTAGCACGAATTGATGTCAATTTCAAAAAATTGCCCATAAGTGGACCCAAATTCAGTAATATGAATTACTTTAGACAATTTGATAAGCTATCACCTCATGTGACTGTACTAAGAGTTACAGCAAAGTAAATTCTCATTTGTTTATTTATTTATTTTTTTTTTTAATAATCAATTTAATAAGTAAATGATAAATGGTATGTTATCAGGAAACGAAAAAAAAAAAACGATCACTAATTTCTTGATTACAGATAAAAAAAAAAAAAAACTAAAAAGTAATAAGTAAGTAATTTATCGAAAAGAAAAAAGTTTATTACAAAACAAAGATGAATTTGATCAATTAATTTTTATCTATAATCACAAAATGATCATCTATTTATATTTATTAGCGCTTTTCCTTCTTTTGAAAAAGATTGACAAAATATTCTCGAAAAGATTTGAAAAAAAAAAATAGGAAAAAGGAAGTATCACAACAAAATAGTGAAATTTTTAAAACATATTTCAAAATGAAATTAATTTATAATTAAAATATGAGCGAACTGCTTGTTTCTCTCGTATAATTGATTAATACAATTTTGTTTCAATTTCAATTTATCATTTTAACAATATATTTTTCAAATAATTAATTCTAAAAAAAAACACTTTTGGAATATTCATATAAAAAGTACAGAGGGAAACTTTTATATTTCAATTTTGATAGTTTTTATAAAATTTTTATGATTCATCTTGTAAATCTTGAAGTAAGTATTAATGAAATGTATTATTATCAGATCAGAAATGATCAGAAAATCAATTTTGATCATTACGAATTTATCATCCATATTAGCATTATTTATTTCATTATTTGTTGATGCAAAATAATTTGCAAATGATAGAAAAAAAAAAGTTAGAATCTTTGAAGATATAATTTAATTTTAACGTATTTTTGACGTTAATGACGTGAAGGATATTTTGCACTTCTTAGTCATTGAAGATCATTTAGGTATCAAATAAACAAATTTAGTGACCAATCAATGGACATTAGGGAAAATGATATTAGGGACAGTTGTTACTTTGAAAATAAATTAATCCATCATTAATCCAATGAATGCTTCATTATTAAGTAAATTAAACTGTGAATGAATATTTCCGGTAAAATCATAATTTCAAAAAAAAAAAAAAAATCATTTTTTTTTTAGATCATCAAAAGGTACTGTTGTATATCGAATTGAACCGGAAAATGTTCCATTCGATGTTACACCTTTTTCCGGTAATGTATTCAGTCGTTATGGTATATCAAATGGCGAATATTTTTTTAATATTATTGCTACTGATTCATTTGCACAGGTTAGTGAAAAAGATGCAAAATAAATTTTTAAAATTCTAAAATTTTAAATTAATTTTTTAAATTTTAATTTATACTTCATTAGATTCTTGGAATGTTTAAAAAACAAAAACAAAACTGATGCAATGAATATTTAAATGAAATGTCTTGAAGTACTGATTTGAAGGAAGCACGTGCTAATGTTCGAATTTTGATTGGTTCACGGATTGATCCAAAACGACAATTCAAAAAATTAAAAAGTAAAGGTACACGTCATCGACGTAGTAGAAAAGATTTTGGTGATGAAATTGTGCTAACACTAAAAGAAAATCATCCAATTGGATTACTGGAAGAGGTTAACTTTTTATTTAAGTTTTATAATTTTGATAAGATGATAATATAATCGAGTTTTACAATTTTGATATTGATAAAGTGATAATAAATTCAATTCTAGTAAGATATATTGATAACAATTTCAATATAATTAAGGTCATTCGGGAATTACTTAGAGTTAAAATTCGCAATTATAAAAATAATTAATTCAATTAACTAATATATTTATAGATTTATTGTTCATTTAAAAAATTTTTTTTATATTAAAATTGTAAAATTGCCGATTATTTAATAAATTTTGCAATTATTTAATTTCAAATTAGTGCTTTTTTAATTCAATAACAGATAATTGAATCAAAATATGCAAAATGATAATTTAATCAAAAATTATTTTTTTTCATATTTTTTCAAAATGTAAATTATTCAGAAAATAAACCTTCGGCCTGACGAGAAGGTTATCTTTGCGCCAGCAACAACGGATTATCTTAAAATACATGGTAATGGATTAATAGAGCTTATCAAACCTTTGAATTATGAATTCGAAATGTCGCATCAAGCAGCTGTACAGATTAGCGGTATGTTCAAAGGTTAGCAATCATTTAACTCACTACCTGATTCGTTCCAATCAAATATTATTTCAATTTAGCATGCTGTATTTTTGCTAATAGCAATTTATTTGCTTGTTTTGAATATTGCAGAATATTATGATTAAATCATTAATGTTTTTTAATCTTTCAAATTGCTTACTTTTACTCCTTTTTTACCATTATAAGTCAAAAAAAAAAAAAAAAATGAGTAATACATTAATCTTTGATTTTTGTGGTCATGATAGAAATATCATTTAAATAAGCCCAGTCTATGTTTAATTAGCCAAGTTAATTAGTTATCGAGGAAGCCTCTGAATACAGATTCTTTCATTTTTTGCAGTTTTTTTTTTTTTTTTTTTTCGGCTGAACAACTTTTTTCACATTATTACAATATTTTTATGCTTTAATTAATTTCATTTACAACTCGAAGCAAAAAATTTTAATTTACTCATTTCAAACATTTTGATTAAAATAATAATTAAAAATTTCATTATGCTATAGGCATAATTAAGACAAAAATAATAGGATGAAAACTAAATGAAAAAAAAAAAGAAAATTCAAATTTTCTCCATTTGAATCGTTAGAAATGAGAAAGAGAAAATGAATAAATTACTTTTTTTTTTTTTTTTTCTTTTTCTTCTCTTAAATTTTATCAAAAGTTTTCAATTTTATTTTATTATGCAATAATATTTGAGAATATCACAAAACAGAACGATTTTTTCTTCCTAAAATTATGATCATTTGTTATTGATCAAAATAAATTTATTTGTAATTGATCAAAAAACAAATTTTGTTTATGACCGATCGAAAGAAACTTATTTTGTGATCGACGAACTTTTCTTTCATTTTTCTTTTCTTATGGGTAAAAGTATACAATGCCTTCACTTCTTTTCACTTTCAGAAATCAAAATATGCAAATTAGAAAATTTATTAAATTACAAATGTGAATTTAATAATATGTTTTTTTTTTTTTTGAAAAATCAATTTTAATTGTTATCATAACATTTTTTACAAATAATTCTTCCAATTTAAATATTTGTTAGTATTAAAGGGATATGTGATATACTCTAACATCATTTAGTCAAATAAATTTTGATTATGGGTAGTAGTGGTGGTGGTGGTGGTGGTTAACTCATGGGAATTTGTCATCTAAAAATATAAAATTGCTTATTGCTATTGCTATTGTTGTTGTTGTTGTTATGATTTTGTCATCTCAATGACACATTGCAAAAAAAAAAAAAATTAAAATTAATTTTTATCAAAATATGAAAATATCTCATAGACAATTGCTAAACAAAACAAAAATAAAAAAGTTTTATTTTTGTTCTTTTCCATATTTCTGCCAGAACAGATTAGAACAGGTGTTCACGGTTGGAGGTGTCCAATTGATTCATTAGCATTGCACACACACAGCTGTTGCTTAAAACTATTTGGTCTTCTTGACTTTCTGATCAATTACTATGCTTATTTCTTTTTTTTTTTTTTTTTTTTTTTTTTAAAAAGACAAATATGAAATTAAATTTTTTAAAAATTTAATACAAAAGAAATGAAAAATAAGTAGAAAAAAAAAATAGAAATTGTTTATTTCATTTAAAATATTTAAATTAGCATTTTTTTTTTGAATTGAATTGAATTAAAATTGTCATAAATAAAAAAAAAAATTTTTTTTTATTTTTGCTAGAATATTTACATATATAAATTGAATTGTGTCAAATTTCTAATATAATAAATTATTGAAATTAACGTTATTAAACAGAACATTTTGTCAATTTAATAAAATTTTATAAACCAATAAAGTTCGTAAATTTTTTAAAAATTTAATATAAAAGAAATAAAGAATAAGTAGAAAAAAATAGAAATTGTTCGTTTCATTTAAAATATCATAGAAATTAGTAATTTTTTTTTTTTTTGAATTGAATTAAAATTGTCATAAATAGAAAAAAATTTTTTTTTTATTGTCTCTAAAATATTTGCATATATAGATTGAATTATGTCAAATTTCTAATATAATAAATTATTATTAAATTTAATTTTCATTTAATTGTTGAATAATTTTGCAATGCTAAAATGTATTGACCAAAAGATTGATTGATGCATAGTTTTAGCTAAATAAAGCTTTTAAATTGGGAAGAAAAAGGAAAGAGAAGAGAGAATAGTAAAGCAATGTGAATTTATTAATTAAAAAAAAAAGATCTAAAATGCTTCTTCTTTTTTAGCTTAGCATGAAAGACTTAATAAATTTTGATCAAATCTCATGGGATATTTGCAAAACATTGAAATATGACATTGCAAGTAAAAATAAATTTGAACTCTCTTTGATATAATTTGTCTTTATTTAGAAATAATTTAATTTGAATTTAATTTAAATTTGCTAATAAAAAAAAAAAAAGTTTATGCATGCATAATGCATGCATGCATTATGCATCCTGCATTTCTAACTAACTATGTCATTACAGCACATTTAACTAGTAGTAGCACTTAACTAAGTGCTTCTACAGAAACTATTGCTTGAACAATAAAATCATTCCCGCTTAAATGCAAATGTATACCCAAAAGTACTTAATGGAATTCCCTCCTGAGAATCGAAAAGAGGTAGTAGAAAAGTAAGCCAAGAATTAAATTTTATAATGCTAGAAGGGAAGCTTATATATATACATGCATTCAAATATATTGCTTTTGTTAGCATAAAAATTAATTAATTTCTTTTTGATAGACAATTGATTTTTTTTTTAATTTTAAATTAAATTAAAACATTTGCTTTGTAAGTTTTTGCTATTAGCTAAAAGTTGAAGTTTTTTTTTTTTTGAAGAAAGCATAAATTTAGAGTATGTAATGTTCATTTTGCAACATGTAAACTGAATGTTAATGTTAGATAAAATTTGAAATATGATAGTTTGTAAAAAAAAAAAAAAATGAAATGTCAAGAATAAGAAAGAAGAGTGTAAATTAAAGTTTAACAAATGAATTAGATTTTTAAACAATACATTAAAAAAAAAAAAAAAAAAAAAGAAAAATTGACTGATTTTAATTTAATTATTATAAGTTAGTGATCGCTTCTGAGGTCACTAATAATGGAAGCAGTAAACAATCTTTAATTGTTGTAGCATTTTAGATATGCGTGTGACCAAAAGTGCTTTAATAGTGTAATTTATGACCTTAATGGAGGATCGATCATTTTTATTCTATAAATGGATTTAGACTGCAATTCTAGTTTTCATGAGATGAAAAGATCAAAGTTTAGATATTATCTAAACTTCATTGACTGAAATTGAATTGATTCAATAAGATTTTACCGGAGTTTTAATTTTTGATTATTGGCTAATCAATTTTGGCAATACCTGGATGACCGGAAATGATTGATGGACAGGTGTCGCTAACCATTTGAAAGCGATACCTAATCATAATTCAATGAATATTGCGTGTAAAAGGTAGCAAATATTACACATATGCAGATGGAGATGTCAAATTGTCCCATAATTTCTCGTCTATAAAAAGATATTTAACCATTGAAATATGAGGGAAATGTGTCAATGAAGATCAGATTTTATTGAAGAGGATTGATAAATAAAGTAAATAAATTTGAATAGATGATGAATTGAGATAATAGATGAATAATCGAGAAAGGAATTAATTAATGACTAAATGAAATAATAATTTGCAAAAAAAAAAAAAAGCTGACGCAAGCATTTCTTTTCTTTAAATTTGACATTTCGTTTTTTTTTTTTTTTTTTTTTTTCTATTTCCTTTCTTTTGTTAATCTTTCTTTTCTTTTTTTTTTTTTCTACAAATTATTCATCATTGCTACATAAGTAATACTTTTTTATCTATTTGCATATCACATTATCATATCATTCATTTCATATCCAAATCCATTTACTTACTTCTTATCATCCAATAAATTTTGCAAACTATTAAATGCAAGCTATAATTAAGCTTAAGCTTAATTATTCCCATTTTACTAATTGTACTATTCAGAAGAGAAAGAAGAATGAAAATTTAGGATACACTTCAAAGACAATGAAAATTTACGAATACATACAAATTTTGCATTTTCTTTGAACTTATGTAAATTAAGTCTAATTGTTAATTTACTAACAAATTTTGTCTATTTGTTTTGTTTGTTTGTTCGTTCCTTTCTTTTTGAGTATTATTTATGCTTAATTATTGGTTAGAAATAACAACCATTCTTATCTGTTATAATTAAATTAAATGCTTTAGTAGAAGAAAAGAGAAAAGGAAAACAAAAGACCCATAATGACCTGATAAGTTAGCATTTTATGCTTTTTAAAAAGCATAAAATATATTCCATCTCTTTAGCATTTATCTTCTTCCATCTGCTCAGATGTGTTAATCCAATGTATGTCTCGACAACTTCAAACCAGATGTGACAAAAAGTAGGAAAGATAAGACCATAAAGTGGTAAAGTTGTAGGTAATAAAAATAAATGAATGAATCATATCAAATGGACAATAGCACAATCTTTGATTTCTAATTTTAATCAGAAATGATTATCGCTAAGATTAACGCTATTATTATCATTGCATCATACATTAATTATATCATGTCATCATCAAAAAATCTTTATTACAATTGAAATGATCACTATAATTGCTATCATTATCATCATTTTCATATTTTGTTTATTAATTCAAATTTTAATAATGAAATGTAATTTGATTATATCTGTTATCTCAAATTTTTCCTTTTTGCTTCTTTCTCTAACATTATTGAGCATTTTTCCCTTCTTTTTTTTTTTTTTTTTTAGCAAGAATTCAAATAAGTAAATTACAAATTTTCAAAAAAATTAAAAAATTTAGATTGAAATTTTATTTTAGCATTCGCTTACAAAATATTTCTTATTGCATAACATTTATTTCATTTTAAATGAAATTTTTTAAATCATTCATTCATTGAAATATTCATAAATTTTCAAAAAAAAAAAAAAAAAAGAGAAAAAAAGAAAGCAATCTAAAATCAAATGAATCAAATTTTAGTAACATTAAATTATTTTAAATTTATATCCAAGTAATTCTACTAATTCTGCTATTAATATTAGCTGAGATATAATAATAATAACATATGTAATTGAAATATTTTAATGATAAAAACTTTTTTTTTTATAAAAAATATTACACAGATTTGTTGTTTTGATTTAATATTTGATAGAATGAATTTAGTTCTTATCGCTTTTCTATCTCTCAATGAATGAGTAAAAGCTTTAATTGAGTTTCTAGCAGTGATAATGATATGATAGTTTGGTGTTCGATGACAATTGATGGGTAGGTAATCCTTTCTTTCCCATCTATCCATCCTTCCATCCATCCACCCGTCCATCCGTCCAAAGTAAGTAACACTTTCACACCCTTGCGTATAGTTCGGGAAGACAAGAAAGAGATTTGCAGGGGAACATTTATTGGATTATAACTCTCACTTCAAGGTCAAAGGACACATTGCATCCGTTTCATTCTGACATAAGGATGACAATGATAATGAGTGCTGATGCAGTTAGAAAAGAAGGGAAAAAAGAAGTGTAATATTAAGGGACAGGTTAATTAATACCTGTGCATTTATGAGAAATGAATTTGTGAAAGATTTGTAATTATTTGACATCTTTTTTTAATGATAATATAGGAAATATTTGAAATTTCATTTGAATTGTAAATTAGAAATGAAAGAAAAAATTTTTAAAGTTTTATTCATATTTAAAATTTTTTTCTAATTTCAAAAATAATCTCTCGAAAAATTTGCTAATTTTAAAGAGATAATTTGTAAAAGTTTTTCTTTCAGTTAATATAATTGTAATAATAATAACAATATAAATAATAATAATGATAATAATATAAATAATAATAATAATTAGATAGAATAAATTAAGACACTTTCTTTAGTTTTCAATGGGAATAAGAAAATGTATTATATAAATTTGTTAATTTCATCAGGGCTGTTGTTGCCAATTGATTAATTACTCATTGCTTTGAAGTAATTTTGGCACTCTTTGTGAAATGCTTATTTGAAAATGAAATAAGAAATTTAAAGATGGAAAAGAAAGCTTAAGAGAAATAAGAGTTTATTAACTAATATTTGAACTTAAAAATATATTTAACTACAATTAAGCTATCTCTATTGTTAATTATATATTTCTTATATGAATTAAATTATTTTATTTTTATTGTTAAGTGGAAGAAATAGAAGAAAAAAGCCTTCAAATAGCTTATTTCAGTAATCATCTTACTCTAATTGTTTTTTTGTTTTTTTCGTTCTATAATTTTATATGCTAAATTTTACTAACACAATTACTGTTTTATTCCATTATTTTTATAAATAATATGTTAATAGAAATAACTGAAGAATATAAAAGGTTATAGGTCATAATTTATTATTGTATTAGTAAAATCAAGAATGATATGATAAGATAAAGAAGGAATGTAGCAAGAAATTGCTGATAAATTTTGAAATGAAATGAAATGAAATTTCTTTTTTATCCACTATTCCTATTTGATCAATTCATCTAATTCAATCTTTTCCATTAAATGTTCAACTTTATTCTCGAAATGGCCTTGCATAAATCAATCACACTAATCAACCTGAATATTAATGGTTCAGGGTCATTATCACCATTATAAAAGAAGCATTGATGAACGAAGAGCATTTATTCATTTATCCTTTAAGTTATGCATAGATAAAAGTTTTATATCGATTTACTGATACATTTACATTTGTATGATCGTTGACAATTAGCGCTTTTCACGGCAAAATAAGAGACAATAGCGCATTAAGTTATTATTTTGATGAAATGAAAAGTGTTTTGGATGGGTAATGGCAGTGGTTAATTTGAAAATTAATGCATAAATTAAGATTAAAATTAAAGCAAATACTATGTGATTGACAAAAATATATGATAATACCTGCAGAAATGTCGCATTTTTTGAAAGATCGAAGATAAAAATTTTTTTTATTAAATTAACATAATACTTTTTTAGATATCAAAATATTTGAAGAAAATTTTGATCTCATTGATATTTTTTATTTTATTGATTGATTTGATTGGGTTAGATTATGATAAAATGAAATGTTTCATTTCATTTCATTTCATTTCTTAACAAAATATTTTCATAGTATTTTGTGATAAATTTGTGGAAATTTGAAGTTTAGCTAATTAAAGTAAGCAGTAATGAGATGAATTTTTGTTCTAGTTTTTACTCAAATTTCAAGAATTTACTTATTTGTAATGAATGCATGCAAAAGCAAACAAATTCGTAGAAATATGCTAATTAATTGGCAAATGCTATTTGCAAGACTTCGACACTTGCATTTGTGTTTGCTATTTTATGCATGCTTTGTAGGCCAATATGGCTTTGAAATAATCGAATTCATTAAATGAGTCTTGGCCGCTTGGCTTAGCTTTCTTGTAGGCTAAGCTTTGGGGAATGCTTCATTAAGAAAGGTACAATGCAAATTGGTAAAAGATAAATGATGAAGTAATAGAATTCTAATTCATTGTTTATACTAAAAATAAAAAAAAAAAAAAAAAAAACAGACAAATAGATAATTAGCATATTTTGATAATTTTTAAATAAGTGAAAAAATTTTATGAAACAGTGAAAACGAGTAAAATGTTAATCGAAATTTTTTATTAATTAACTAATTTTTAGTTAATCAAACAAAATTTTTAATAAATAACATTTCTTGGCTGAATAAATATAAAAAATTATTTAACAAATAATATTTCTTGGCTGAATAAATTTAAATTTTATTAAATAGCAAATGTTTTTATTTCATAGAAATTAAAACAAAATAAATCTTCTTGTCAGCATTAATAACTTAGAATATGATAGAGTATATTTCTTCTTTGCATTCATTTATTTTAAATTTAAATAGCAGAATATCATTTCATAGATTTCAATTTAATGAAATAATCATTGAAAAAATTTTTTCCATTAATCAATCAAATTGCTGTGCTAATTATCCATCAAACTAAATGGAATAATAGAAATGAATTTGAAATCTGATTAGGCTTGATAACAAATATTCAAATTTAATTATACATTTTCCAATTATACAATTATTTGCTGATTGCAAGGGTTCATACACAGAAATAAACAACAAAGTCCATTTACATTTCTTACTTAATACATATATAACTTTTATCAGTTAAATTATACAAAGTTAATACAATCATTTCTTATCATTCTGTAATGAATGCATTGATAAGATAACTTGAATTAATCAAATATTTTAATTCTTAACAATAATTTGAATTAATGGAATGTTTTAATTTTTAAAAATAATTTGAATTAATCGAATATTTTAATTTTTAAAAATGATTTCAATTAATTAAATATTTTAATTTTTAGCAATAATTTGAATTAATGGAATATTTTAATTTTTAAAAATAATTTGAATTAATCGAATATTTTAATTTTTAAAAATAATTTCAATTAATTAAATATTTTAATTTTTAAAAAATGTAAAAAAAGGATATGATAAGCTAATTTTTAGTTCGTGTACAAATGATAAGAATGGAAGTATTAGATGTAGACGAACCGCCAACATTTCTAAATGGACCAAAGCCATATAAAGCTGTGGTAGCATATGATCAACCAATTGGAATGCATATTTATAAAGTAAATTTTTGAAATTAACATTTATTTGATAAAAGTTAAATGTTTATATAAAGTTATGTAAATTTTAAAACATTATGTTTAAAAAAATTTAAAAAAAAAAAAAAACAGCATTTAAAATTTTTTTTCTCCTTTTTATAAACGAAATATTTAAATTGTATTAATTTAAAATTTAATTACAATATTAAGTATTTTTCTTAAATTTTTAAAAATGTTAATTCAAGCATTACATTGGAATATTTGTTGTTGATATGTGTGAGTGAGAGAGAGAGAAAAATTGAAATAAACTATTACAAAAGGATTTATTTAAATTTAAATGATAAATTTTATTTCTTTTATAAAAAACAAATTAAATTTTATGTGATATGTTTTTTTTTTTTTATAAAAATTTATGTTAAAATTGGTCTAATAACATTGAGAAGAAAATTTTTTTCTATCAAAAGATATCATCAAAATGACATGGAAATAAGATTAATTAATGCATTTTATTTTATTCTGTTCAGTCTTCCGTTTTTTTTTTTTCTAAAAAGCATAAAATTGCATCAATTTTTTGGCTCATCGTTTTTTTTTTTTTGGATTATTTCACTTACAAATAAAGAAGTCATTAATTTTCCGATCCGAAAGATGAAAACCATAGGGACCGGAATGTAAGGGAAGGATTTAGGAAAAGAGAAATGAACAAATTTAAATGAGATATTAGATTGGTGAGGTATTAAAATGGTTTAAAAATAAAACCAAATAAATGATACATTATGTAGTAAACAACTCAATGAATAATTGTTGGGAAAAAAAAAAAACATTTCATTGTTAAATCATGAAAAAGTGATATTACTTTAGTAATTGAAAAGGGAAAGTTTAACAGTAAAGTTTTTTGGTGATAAAATTATAAAAGAAAAAAGAAAGATTTAATAATTTCAAAAAAATTTCAAATTTGACAAATTGATTTTGTAATTTCAAAAAATTTCAAATTTGACAAATTTTTAAATTACAGTTTGTTGCTCGTGATGAAGCAGGTGATGGTGATGATAATGTTGAATATCGGCTTATCAATACCGAACGTTAGTATCATTATCCTTTTTTTTTTCAATTTAATTTGATTGGTTATATCAGTGATAAAAAAATGATAAGAATTAATTTAAAAGTTTGACAGACTTTGTTGTAATTAATAATAAAATAAAAAATGGTTCAATTTTTAGATTTTTGATAACATTTATGATATTTGTTTGTCTTTTTAATTTGATTATGCTAATTAAATAATGAATTTCCTTCATCTGAAAATAAAAATAATAACATATGCAATAATATTTTATTCATTTCTATATTTTGTAAATAAAATTTTAATAACTATAAAATTGGAAAAATTTTAAAAGATATTATTTACAGTAAATTTTAATATGCTACCATTTTTCAAATGAAAAAAATAAATAAAAGAAATTTTGATTTGTTATTTGGAAAGTTTAGGAGGTGAAATTTTATTTGGATTAAAAAATTTTTTTTCTTTATTTTATAAAATATCCAAATATTATAAATTATTATTTTGCAGCTCGAGGTACATTTACGGTTGATCCAGTAAGTGGTGTGGTGCAAACAGCATTGAAACATTATAAACCAGGTGAAACCTACCGTATTTTTGTTCAGGCACGAGATCGAACACCAACAGATCCTGAAATTTCGCAGGTGCAAATTTAAAATTATGCTTTTGTGGCTGAAATTAAATTCATTCTTATTTATAAAAATTTTTAATGATTTTAGCAGCGAATAGAAACTTTATTGAATTTTCTTTGAATTTTTGTAGTTATATTTTAGTAATTAACAAACTAATTAATTAATTATTCTTTTGCTATTTTATTTTATTTTGTTTGATTGGCAATTGAAATTTTGCTTAATTTCTTTCATCCATAATTTTTGAGTGAAATTCTATTTATTGAAAATTAGATTTTGAATTTTAGGATAGTGAAGTTGCAGTACTGGAAGTATTTGCTGGTGATCGTGCACCGCAATTTGTTGAGCAACAGTATACAGTTCTTGTTCCGGAAAATACTGAAATTGGCTCCAGGTATTAGCTATTACCCATTTTTTTTTTTTTTTTTTTATGGCTAAGATTAAAAAGGAGTTTTAAAATTAATAAAAATACCATTTCAATTCATTCATTCTTAAAATAAATGAATTTGAACTAAAAATAAATTAAATTTAAACTTAAAATGCGCAAATTTTTAAGTGAAAATGCTTCTTTAATTAATTAAAAATAAAAGAATTAAAAGAAAAATTATCAAATACTATTAAAATTTAGCATAATAGCTATCAGAGCAGAATGTTTTAAACCAATTGATAAGCGACGTAGCAAAGGTAAATTATCATATCAATTATATTTGGATACAAGTTTAACTGAACGTGAATTATCATCATACTTTACAATTGATGCTGAAAGTGGCTTAGTTCAATTGACAAAAGCGCTTGATTATGATGATGATACACTACCAAAGCATCATCAATTAAAAGGTTTGTTTAAATTTTTACAACCTTTTCTTAAATTTGACAGCGAGTTGTATTAAAGTTAAATTTTATTAAATTTACATCAAATTATTATAATAGCTAGAAAAAAGTTATATTAGCGAGTAATAATTAGTAAAATAATTAAGTGTATAATTTATTGATTATATTGTTTATAGCTGGTATTTAAGCTAGATATGAATTTTTCCGCTTCACTTATCCGTTCTTTCATGAAATTTCTAATTCAGTTTTATAATAGGCTTAGGCTGTCTTAATTTTCATCTTCAACGAATGGAAAAGTCTTACTTACATTTAAAATCCAATTTTATTTCTGTTATATGCTTCATTTGATTTTAAGAAATTTTAGCTAAATATATATAATATATATGTGATAATGAATAGTTTGCTAACTGAATTGAACTTATTTAGCATAAATTAGCTTTTTCTTTTTTTTTTTTTTTTTTTTTTTTTTTTAATTTTAGAATATAAATAAATAAAAAAGTTAAATTTGTAGCTTTTAACATGTTAGTATCTTAGCATGTATGTTTGTTTAAGAAAAGATAGAAAATACAAATGCAAATTAAAATTATTTTTATGTTGAAAAAAAATTATTTTAAGTTAAATTTTAAAATTATTTTAAGTCTAGTAAGTTATGTCTAAAAAAATTTAAATAAAATATGCAAGTTTTGTCATAGTCTTTTGTTCGTTCAAGCTGAAATAATCATTCCTACCTTTTGTTTTTCAAATTTAAAAAATCTTCAAATGATAAAAAAGCTTTTTATAAATTTTTGATTTGTAAATTTTATTTATTTATTTTTTTGCTGTCTTTTAAACCAAACTAATAATTTAGATTAGACTGAATAAATCATAATTATAAGAGAAGAAAAATAGTTAAATTGAATGAGTGAAATAAATCAAAGATTTTTATAAAAAAAAGTTTAGTAATGCTCTAATGCCATCTAACTTATAATTTCTTTTTTAAATTATAATTTGTAAGCTATAATTTTTTTTTAAACAATTATAGTTAACTTATAAATAATTATAATTTCTTTATGAAATTAATAAATTCTAAGTCTCTAGAAGAGTATTCGAGAAATAGAATAGATCTGAATTGTTAAATATAAGCTAAAATATTTAAAATCATAAAATAATTTGCATATTTTAAAGAAAATGAAAAATTTTTGCAGAAAAAAAAATGCATAAAACAAATTTGAAAGTATGCATTATAATAGTAGACTAATAGAACTTTTTATTTTTTAATTAAAAAATTTGAATTGACAATTGCTGAAGCTTATATATGCATAATTAATGCCATAAATCCATAATGATCTTTTAACTATCAAAGTTTAAATTTCTGAAATAATTCCAATTAATTCGTAATGGAATAAAAATTTGCTTAATTATTTCTTCTATAATAAGCTTTTATATTAAATTGAGATTAATTTTTATTTAATTAATTAATTTTTTATTTAAGATATATGATTAATTAACTTTTATAAGATATAAACGAGTTTTAGTTTTTTTTTTTTTTTTTTTTTTTTTAAATCAGTAATTTTAAAATGAAAAGTTAGAATTTTAGGATGATTAAAATAAAAATAAAGGATTTATCACTAAGAAATAAAATGAGTTGAAATTCTAAAAATTTTTAAAGATGAAAGTTTTCAAAATTTCAGTTATTGCGCAAGAAGATGGTCGAGAAAGTGAAGTACCATTAGATATTTATATAAAAGATATCAATGATAATATTCCTATCTTTACACAACCTATCTATAGTGCTACAATTAAAGAAGATATACCAACTGGTTATACGATTCTTACAGGTAAATTTAATTAATAAAATTCTTACAGGTAAATTTAATTAATAAAATTCTTACAGGTAAATTTAATTAATAAAATTCTTACAGGTAGATTTAATTAATAAAATTCTTACAGGTAGATTTAATTAATAAAATGAAATTTATTTCTGAAATAATTGATTAATAGCATTTAATCAATTTTTTTTTTTTTTTATAGAATGTTATTAATATGTTTTATATAAAATGAAATGAAAAAAAAATTTATTTTAGTGGAAGCAGATGATAAAGATAATGGTGAAAATGCTCGAATTAGGTATACCTTAGATGATGATAACTTTATAATCAATGATCAAGGTGAGATATCAGCTGGCAGACGTCTTGACGCTGATCAAAATCGAGAACGCTTCTTCATTTATCGTTTTAATGTTACCGCAACTGATTACGGTGAACCATCATTAAGTAGTAGTGCTATGGTAAATATATATCATTCATTATTTTATGTATAAAATTTTAATGTTTCTCAATTTATTTAAATTAAAATCCATTAGTTTAGTTAATTTGATGATTCTTGAATTAAAATTATTAGTTTAATTAATTTGATGTTCATTAAATAGAACCACTAGCTTAGTTAATTTGATGTTCATTAAATTGAAATTAAATTAGTTTAATTAATTTTTAATCTTTTTAATTTCTTCTTATTATTACATTATAAAATTTTATTTTATGAAATATTTTAAATGAATTTTAATTTTAGGTACATATTCGTACAGAAAATTCAAATGATGAAGCACCAATTTTCATTCCTAATGCAACTTATCATGCATTTGTTGCTGAAGATGCTCAAAGTGGTACACCAATAGTACAAATTCAAGCAATTGATCCAGATCGAGATCAGGTAATTTAAAATTGAAAAATTTAACTTAAATATTTCGATGTTTAGTTTAATTTAAATCATCAAAAAAAAAAAAAGCAAATTGAAAAATTTAACTTAAATATTTCGATGTTTAGTTTAATTTAAATCATCAAAAAAAAAAAGTAAACTAAGTTTTATTTTTTTTTTTTAAAAAAATATATCATATATAAATTTTTAAGGTTTTCTATGCATTTCTATTATCAAATGGTGAAGAAACATCAGCAACTGAATTATTTGAAATTGATAGAGATACAGGTAAGTTATATGAGAATTTTTCATTAATCGGTTGTAAAGTTTTTTCTTTTTTTTTTTTTTTTTTTGCTTTATTAAATTTTATTATCTAAAAATAGAAAATTATAGGATTGATTAGACTTGGATTAAACGTAAAACCGGAAGATCTTTTACACGAAGAATCACCGTACAACCTGACAATAGTGGCACGAGATGACGGATCATGCTGCGGAGATGACGCAAGTGAACTTCATATGCAAACTGCTACGGTTACTATTGGTAATTTAACTTTATCATTTTTTAGATTCTATAATAGCTAACTAAATTTACTGATAATTTCATTTCTGGAAATATATGCAAGAAAAAAGAAGGAAAAAAAAACTCTTTAAAAAAAATGAAATTTTAAATTTACAGATATCGCAGATGTAAACAACAACAAACCTGAATTTCGTAGTTGTGACACTTATAGTAATATAGCAAAAATTGAAGAAGGTGATTATAAAACTAATGCACCAGTTATTTTAAAGGTTATTTTTAATTTTAGTAATTTAATAAGAAATTTCAGATGAAGAAATTATGATAATATTTCTTACTGTTAATTCGTTTTTTTTTTTTTCCTTTTAATTCACTTATTTCCAAATTTTTTATCGATATTAATTTATTAATTTGTTAATTTTTAAGGACTAAATTTCAATAGTTTAAATAAACATAAATTAAAAAAATTTTTAAAATTTTTTTTGTATAAAATATATTTTAGGTAGTTGCAACAGATGAAGATTCACCACCAAACGGAGAAATTGTGTATTCGTTATATTATTCACAGTCTGAATCTCGTAAACCGTTTGTCATAAATCCTGAAACAGGTGAACTGAGACCATCACCATTTGTGCGCTTTGATCGTGAACAAAGAACGCAAGAAGAAGTTACAGTAAAAGTTAGTTATTTCTAAATTAAACATTTTTAAAATTTAATTTAAATTTAAATGAGAAATTAAAATGATATAGAAGATAGTTAAGGTAGTTTAATTTTTAGGCAACAGATAAAGGTGAAAGACCATTGATAGGCTTTTGTCAATTTACTGTACAAGTTCTTGATATAAATGATAATGCGCCACAATTTGATCGATCATTTTATGAAACTTCAATCTCGAGAAATGTTGACATCGGGTAAATCATCTTTTCCTTCCTTCCTTTTTTTTTTTTTTTTTTTCGTTGAAAAATTTTGATACAACGAATTGCTTTAGTTAACTGTAAAACTGATTTTTTCAAATATGATTCATTTAAATTTGTGAAATATTAAATTGATCAGAGCAACATTTAAGCATCAATTGTTTACGCATCTATCACAGGAAGCGACACAATTGTTTATGTATCGTTGAAAATGTTATCATAAATAAAAAAAAAATTTATTGATTGATTCTTGGAATGTTTTTAGTCTTTCTAAATGTAAAAATTTACAATTCATTTCTAAAACTGCTATCAAATTTCTAGCAAATAATAAGCAATACTTTAACATTTTAACTTATTCTCATCCTAAAATTCGAAAACTCAGAAAAATTTTAGATGCTTTATCATTAAATTTCAAATTTTAGTAATTAATTAGGAAAATTTTAAAAATTTTGAAATTTTTTCTTATAACATTATTGAATATAATTTAAGTATTATAATAGGTTGTGAACAGTTTGAAATGAAATGTGACATTGATAAAATGTTATTTCGAAAAACTTTTTTAGATAGTTCAGGTAAATAATTCAGGTATTCGGTGATAACAGTCTTTGCGGATGATGCGGATGCGCCACAGAATGCTCGAATTACTTACTCATTAGCTGAAGATACGTTAGCTGAAAAGGAACATCACAAAGATTTTGAATTTTTTCAAATAATTAATGAAAATAGTGGTGAAATTTCGTTAGCTAATCAAATTCCATCATATGTTAGTTTTATCAAATTTCATTTAAGTTAATTATCTTTTGTTTTGAAAAAAAAATTTGAAAATATAAAGGTAAAAGTTGATTTAATATTTTTGTAATTTAAATAAAAATAAAAAAATTTTCTTGCGGTTTTTTTTCTCCTTTAATTCAAAAATAATTGCTTTTTTTTTCTTTTCAGAAAGATCGTTTTGTTTTTAACGTTATAGCAGATGATCATGGAGTACCATTTGCGCAACGAAGTGCAGTGCAAGTTGTTGTGAATGTTCATGAAAAGCAACAAAGTGCGCCACAATGGCAAACAACTGATGAATGTAAGACAACAGTTGTAGTGGACGAGGATATTCCTGTAAGTGAAAATTCTTGAGAAACTTCGAGAATTTTCAATTTTTTTTTTCGAGATATTGTAATGAATGATCTAATACAATGGAATAAAAAGTAAGGAAATGGAAAAAAAAATTTGTTTGAATTATTTATTGATACATTTTTATTTCCAACTATTTCATTTCCATCATGCATATTTTTTTTTAATTCATAGTATATAATTTTTCATTGGTTTAATTTTATAATTTTCAGATTAATTCGGTGCTTTTTCGTTGCTTAGCAATTCCAGGTGATGGTCCAAAGAGTCCAATTTCATATAAGTTAGTGCATTTTAATTAAATTATTTTAATAATACAAAATTTTGCATTGTTTTGAGATTATTTATTGGATTTAAATAAATGATTAATTTAGTTGTTTGATAAATTTATAATCAAATCATCGTTCATTGATTTTAATGAATTCCTAGTTGATATTATAGTACAGAAATTTATTTATCATTCATTTTGATATGCATAATTGCATTTGAATCTTTTTAATTAAACTAATAGCATTAATTTAATCTGAGCTAAATTTAGCTATAAAAAGAAGATACTATAAAAAAAAAATAATATGCAAATCTGATAATTTTATAAATTCATTTCAAATTTTTCATCTGTTAAAATTCATTTTTCACATCATCAATTTCTATTTAAATTTCATTAAGGATGGCAAATGGTGCCAGTCGTGGTACCAATCATGAAATGCATTTTCGTGAATTCCTGGAGAAAACAAATGGGCGAGATTGGGTTGTTGTTAGAAATATGATTGGATTAGATTATGAGCAACAACAGAATTATACTTTAACAATAACTGCTATGGTTTAAATTTTAATTTAAAAATTTTAATTTTCAAATGAAATATAAAATTTCATTTATTTTGAAATTTAATATTTAATTACATTTACTTTCTTCAACAAATAATATTAACTTTAAAATTTTTATTTGATAAATCTAAATTTGATCACTCACAAATTGTATTATTGAAAAATTTACATTAATTTAATAATAGTTATTTGTTAAGAAATTAAAATGATTTCAATTTGCAGGATATGCGTAGTTTGATAACATCTGATAAGCAACTTCATGTTATAGTACGTGATAAGAATGATGCAGTTCCACGATTTACGGTTGATCTTTTCACGGGTACCATTGAAGAAGAACAAACACCAAAGGAATTTCTTACTAAGTAATTAACTGATTTGATCAAAATTTTATTTCCTAACTTTAATTTTATCTATCTTTTCATTTCAGCATTTTATTCATTTATTTATTTATTTTTTTTTAAGATTGCTATTTTAATTTATAAAACTGAACTGATAGTTATTAGAAATTTAAAAATATTTCAGATACAATGGTAATCCTATAGCGGTAGTTAAAGCAGAGGATGCAGATTCTCCGGGACCACAATCAGAAGTACGTTACCGGATTATTAGTGATGGTGATAGCGGTGCGGCACGATTATTCCGGATTGATGAGTTAACTGGTGGAATATTTCCACTTGAGATTTTTGATCGAGAAAAAAATGATTCATTTATATTTGATGTTGAAGCACGTGATAATGTTCCATCAAGTTTACCTGGTGCTTCAGGACCGAATAAAGGTTGCTACTATATTAATTTTGATCTGTAAAATTGAGCTAATAGATAGATCAGAGCTATTTAGTTCATTGAGATTTGTAAAATAGATCATATAAAATAGATGAATTTATAGATCAGAACAGTTCATCGATTATTTTTAGTCAAAATTTGATAAAGTGTTCAATTTCATATTGTTCAAATGATGATCATTAAACGATGATCATTTTTCAGATCAAATAATTACTTTTATGATTTGCTAACTCTAAAAAAATTTGACATATTCTTAATAAAAGCATATATGTTTTTTTTTTTTTTTTCTTTTTTCTTCGCTTATTTTAACTTTAAAAATTTTATAAAAAATAAACTAACTTTTTTTTTTTTGGAAAATTCACCTAAAAATTGAATTTTAATTTTTCTATTTGCTATTTATTTCAGATATTGTTAAAGTACAAATTTTTGTGATTGATATCAATGATAATCCACCATATTTTGAGCAAACTCGTTATGAGGCTCGAGTTGCTGAAAATGAGGGAATTAATGAAGATGTAATTACGGTGAAAGCATATGACTTAGATCGATGTCAGTTTTTTTTTTTTTTTTTTTTTTAAATTATCATATCAAATTTAACTTTTGAAATGTATTATGATAAGCAGCAAACAATTGATCATTAATAGATAAGTCCAAAATTCTATCCTAAATTGTAAAAATTAATTAAAATTACAGTGCCAAATCTTAAATATGATTTATATGGTGTATATGGTGGACGAATACCATTCGGTGTTCGAACCGATTCCGGTGCAATTTTTATTAAAGAACCACTTGATTATGAAAAGGTTTGAAATTTTAGTGAAAATAAAAAGATAATTATCACAGTAAATGATTTTATAAATCAATATTAAACGAACTGCAATGAAATTATCAGAAATTTAATTTATAATTGTATTCTTTTTTTCTGGTATATATCAACCGGTATGCAATCCGGTATACAACAGTTTTTATTCATTAATTAAATTAATTTATATTTCTCAGGAAAATGTATATCATATGAAACTATTCGTAACAGATGGTAAACATAATGCTACAACGGATTTGTATGTTTACATTGATGATGTAAATGATAATGCACCTCAATTTGAGAAGGATTTATATGAGATTACAATATTTGAGGAAGACCGAGATATACCGAAGACATTGTTCATTGTCAGAGCTACCGATGCTGATAAGGTTTTAATCAATTATCATTGAGAAAAGCTAAACAAATGTCTACATTATTTTTTGTTAGATCTATTGATACTGATAAGGTTTTAATCAATTATCTTTGAGTAACACTAAACAGATTTCTATGTTGTTCTTTGCTAGAGCTACTGATACTGATAAGGTTTTAATCAATTATCTTTGAGTAACACTAAACAGATTTCTATGTTGTTCTTTGCTAGAGCTACTGATACTGATAAGGTTTTAATCAATTATCTTTGAGTAACACTAAACAGATTTCTATGTTGTTCTTTGCTAGAGCTACTGATACTGATAAGGTTTTAATCAATTATCTTTGAGTAAAACTAAACAAATTTCTACCACAAAATACTAAATTACTGCTAAGTTAATAATTTAATATATAGTTATATAATAAATGAATCATTATTTTTTGGTATTATTGATAAAAACTTGGGAAAAAGTTCAAATGTTTCTAAATGTTTATGCAAATATTTGTTATTGAAAATAAATTAGTAGAATTCAAGAAAACCTCAATTCACTTCAATAAATATTACAATTCTAGCAAGATGAATCATCAAAAATTGTTTATCGTCTCGAAGGACAAGGTGTTGGCGAATTCTTTCGGGTTGATCAATATAGTGGTGATATTGAAGTGATAAGACCGCTTGATCGTGATCCTCCAGCTGGTGTATCTGTTTGGAAGTTTATTGTACAAGCAATTGATGATAATGGTCATGGATTGATTGGTTACGCTGATGTACAGGTATGATTGATTCTGTTAATAGTATTCAAAAAATTATTTTCTTTTTTTTCAACTATTTTTTTTTTTTTTTTGAAATAAAATTAAAGCAAATTTGATATTTGTTAGGATTGAACTTTAAATATGCGTACTTAAAGTATTTATTATTTCAAGTAGAATATTAGATTTAACGTTTGATTAAAGATTCAATTCTTTATCAAATCGATTTTTTTTTTTTTTTTTGATTTTATACAAATTTTAAATTTTTTAGGTGAATTTACGCGACATTAATGATAATGCACCAATATTTGCTAGTAATTTATTTGGAACAATTGATGAAAATCGTGATCCTGGAGGTAATTAATGTTATTTTAGTATTCCATGAATTTTCTACAATTTTAAAATAATTAAAATTGCAGAAAATAAGAAAGAAGAAAAAAGGAAACTTTTTTTTTTTTAGAAATTTGCATATAATTTCTAATTAAAATGATAGCTAATCTTTTAAGATAAAAGAAAAAAGAAAGTAAATTCTGTAAATTCTAAATGTAAGAAATGAAATTTTTAAGAAATTTTGACAATTCATTCATTTAATATTGTATTTAAATTTTTCAATTTTTTTTTTCTTAAAAGAAAAAATTGAAAAATTAAATTTGTATAAAATAAAGAAATGAGTTGCAGATGAAGGAGTGTTTGTGATGACAGTTACAGCAACAGATTATGATGATCCACGAACTGATAATGCTCGACTTGAGTATAGCATTGTGATAAATAAAGAAATTGATGGTGAACCAGTTTTCCGGATTGTTCCAAGTAACGGAAAAATTTATGCTATGGTAATTTATTTCTTTTGCTAATGCATATCAATGATTAATTTGTTTATTTTTGATAATTAAATAATTTCAAAGATTAAATGAATGAATAATATTTAAATTTAGCGAAAAATGGATCGTGAATTGCCATCCGAAAAACAATTTGTTATTGAAATTCGAGCTATTGATAAAGGCATACCATCACTTGAAGGTAAATTTTCTTCTCTTTTTTTTTTGAGTAATTTCTGTTTTAAATAAAAGTAAAAAATAATTTTAACTCAATTTACTGATTAATTAAAATATTCCGAAATATAATTATTAAGTAAATTTTATCTCTTCTCATTTCTTTCATTCTTTTCAATCACATAAATCATTTTATTTATTCTTATCACACATCTTTTTTTTTTCTAATTACTTATTTATTATTTTATAAAAAATGATTTTTTTTTTTTTACTAATTACAAATTCCTAATTACATTTCTAATTACTATTACTTATTACTTTATTATAATTATTACTTATTAATTTATTATATTTACTACTTATTAATTTATTATATTTATTACTTATTAATTTATAATATTTATAAAGATAATTTACCAATTTTAAATCTTTTTCTGAATAAATAAAAATATTTATCTTTTCCTTTCCTTTTTTTTTTTTAAGGAATAGGAAATGTGACAATTCGAGTGATAGATGTAAATGATAATGAGCCATATTTTGATAAGGAATTATATGTTGGATCAGTTGTGGAAACTGCATCAATTGGTTCAGCAGTTATTAGTGTATCTGCTTTAGATAAAGATACTGAAGCAATGTAAACAAATTTCTTTTCCTTTTTTTTTAAAAGATAATTTAAGATGAAATAATTATTAAAAATAAATCAATGAAAAGTAATATATAAAATAAAATATTTTTTACTTACTAAATAAATCAATGAAAAGGAATATATAAAATAAAATATTTTACTCGAAATTTTAGAAAAATTACGATTATTTTAATAAATTTTGTAATAATTAAGTTACTAATTACTATTACTTATTAATTTATTATATTTATAAAGATAATTTATCATTCTTAATTACTATTACTTATTAATTTATTATATTTATAAAGATAATTTATCATTTCTAATTACTATTACTTATTAATTTATTATATTTATAAAGATAATTTATCATTTACAAAAATGCTTTATCATTTCTAATTACTATTACTTATTAATTTATTATATTTATAAAGATAATTTATCACTTACAAAAATACTTTATTTTGCTTTAAATGCTTTAAAAACAATTTATCATTTGCAAAAATCCTGTAATTTACAAAATTGCTTTGTTTTTTTTTTTTTTTTTTTTTCTAAAATTCATTTTAGACTTATTACTTTTCATTGATTTTAGTAATCAAAATTAATTATAATTAAGTGAGAGTTTTCTTTTCACTTTTTTTTTTCAGTGATAATATTTTTATCTATGAATTAATGGATGAACATCAATATTTTTATGTGACAACAGAAACTGGTTCAAGTAGTACAAGTGTTGGAGTTCTTCGAGTTAAAAAGGTTTTCTTCATGTTAAATTAGCTAAGCAAATTAATGTTTAAATTAAAATTACAAAAAATTATCAAACTTTTTAGCAAAAAAAAAAAAAATTCTATTTTGAAATTTCAAAATTTTCAAATTTAATTTAATCAATTTTGCATTCTATTTTACATATTATCAAAAAATATATAAGTTTTTTTTTTTTCAGACTTTTTTCAATTTCATTTCAGAAAATAACTTATCATCCGGTATTCTCACAAATCTCTCTATCACTTTTTTTTTTTTTGTATTTCATCTAAATTCTAAATTTACATTCCTATTCTTTCGTTTTCTTTTTGAATTCTGATAATACCATAATCAATAATCACTAAATCTTCAACTTTTAAAGTATAATAAAATGATCCTTTTTAATATGTTTTTTTCTTCTTTCTTTCTTTCTCTAATCTTTTCAATTTCATCCTCATTTTAAAAGATTTTAAAAGATTTATCTTTCTAAAGAAAATAATTATTTGGTATTTATCGAGAAAAGGTAAAGAACGAGTAAACTTATCGTTTAGAAAATTGTAAATTATTATCTCTCTTTTACTTTTCAAAGAAAATACTTTAATGAAATACCAATTTTGTTTTATCCGATTATTAAGAATTCTTGATTGCTTCATATAAATAATAGTTTTTCTTCATGATTTTCTCATTTTCTACTCAAAAGTCTTGAAAATTAAATGTTATTCTTATTTATCATTTCCACAGGTAAACTCTTATCAATATATGTGATACTGCAAATTATTACTCACCATCTTATCATTATCACCATTAGTTCTTATCATTCCTTATCCATTAATCCTAATGATATACATAATTATTTATGAAAGTTTTATCACTTTTCTAAATTATTTTCAAGACATTTGATAATACAAATAAATTAAAAAACAGGTAAGAAATGTTCAAAGCTAAATGATTAACTTAGACAAAGCAAATGGATAGAATAAATTTAAATTATGATTTTTCTTTTAATCAAAAATTTTTAGAGAATTATAAATTCATTTATTATTTTTTTTCTCAAAACGAAACAAAATCATATCGATACTTTTCCAAAATTCAATTAATCAATAACTACAAAAAAAAAAAAAAAAAAAAACTATAGCAAATGAAATTTCTAAAATATACATAATTTTTGCTAGCAAAGCTATGGCTTTAGTATCTATTATTAATTTTTTTTTTAAAGAGTAGCAATTAGCGCTATCATCAAAGAAATGAATTTATTTTTGCTTTTTAAAGCAGATTTAAGCTGTTTTGCTTAATCTTTGAATATTTTCTTTTGATGAATAAATAATAATTTACCATAGAAACCTGGCATATATTTAAATTATTTTAAAATGATTGAAGGGAAGATTGAATGCGTTAATGTCGCTCATATCTAAGCGCAAAATGTTCCCTTGGAGACTACATGCATTTTATTTAATAGCTATAAGAGTTTCAACCTATCATTATATATTTCCATAACTATAGTACACATAATATGGCCATAGTTATGGCTTTGGCCATAGTTATGACTAGTCCTATTAGTTATGGCGCTCTTGTCCATATCAATTTTAATATACTTAAAATTGGCACTTATAGCTTTTTCTATAAATCATTCCTGAATATTTGTATAAAAATTGCTCTGAAACTGAATCATTTTCATTATTATTATTTTGAAAGTAATAATTATTACTAAAATAAAAATATCACTTGGCACTTTATCTCATAAGTACTTGGCTTAACTGATCAATTTCAGCGCTCAAATAATTCCTCAACTTAAAATTTTTTTGTTTTTTAATTTTCAACTATACTTGAAGCTATGCATTTTAATTTGAAGCAGTTATTATCATAAAAGTATAAATTCGAAATCTTTTTTAATCGTTAAAAATTGACTTTTATTTTGTATCATTCAAATTTTTTTTCTAAAAAATAAGCCAAATTTTTTTTTTCCGAATAAATATTTTTTAATTTATTAATAACTACATTTCATTTCTTTTTCTCTATAGTTAAAAGATTCTTAACAGGTTTGTCTTTTTTTTTTCTTCAAGTTGATCAAAGATAAAATAACCTGATCCGGTTATTAATGTCCGGTAACTCTAGCAGTAACTGCCACCAGCCACATTAGAAAAAAAAGTTGCTTTTTTGTGACAGAATATGAACTTTTACTCTTTCTGTAATTTTATTTGTGAAATATAAATGGAGCAAAATTTTACTATCAGCTGTTATCAGCTGTTATCATCAGTGTGTCATATTTTTTGAACTGATAAATTTTTAAAAAATAGGTTATCACCTAATGTGCAAAATATTTAGAATTATAAGTGCAATATTTTTTCTTTTAAATGCATACAGTGGGCAATTTAAAATGCTATTTTTCCATTTCATTAATTCATCCTTTTTTACTGAAAGCAGTTCCGGAATTATTTCAATAATACAAACAGTAGTCTTTCAGTAATTTGAAATGTGATTTTTTCATTTTATTGATTCATTTTTTCTTACTGAAAAGTAATTCCGGAATTATTTCAATAATGCAAAAGTAGTCCTCAGTAATTCGAAATGCTTTCAGTAAAGAAGTCATTTTGTTGATTTATTCTTCTTTACTGAAAAGCAATTCATTCTTTTTTACTGAAAGCAATTCCGGAATTATTTCAATAATGCAAAAGTAGTCCTCAGTAATTCGAAATGCTTTCAGTAAAGAAGTCATTTTATTGATTTATTCTTCTTTACTGAAAAGCAATTCCGGAATTATTTCAATAATGCAAAAGTAGTCCTCAGTAATTCGAAATGCTTTCAGTAAAGAAGTCATTTTATTGATTTATTCTTCTTTACTGAAAAGCAATTCCGGAATTGTCCCAGTAATGCAAACAGCAGTCCCTCAGTATAAATACTTTAACATGCTAATCCTGTTGATATCCAAAAAGTCTGACCTAACTAATTGCTTTCCTGTTTGAGTAGTCCTTAATTGATGGATGAACTTAATTCACTTTCTTCTTTTGCTTTTCCGATTATTCCATTGCCAATTAAAGACATCATTTATTAACATGAATCTTCATCAGATCCTTAAATTTAATCATTAATCTAAATTGATTTCCACTCATTAACAAGACTTTACGAGCTAAACAAACTAATGAAATAAGGAATAAACAACATTGTTGTCATTTTCCTAAAATTTATTTACAAAATTTATTTATTTATTTTGCTTTATCGGTAAAATGAAAAAAAGAAAAACACTGTCACAGAGTTGAAAATTTCTGAAAAGTAAAGTTTTAAAAGTTTAAAATCACAACAAATCCTCAATGATTTTTTTATAATTTATTTTCTTACTTTCTCGGTGAAAAAAAAAAAAAAAAGAAAAAAAAAAACACACATAGTCACAGAGAGTTGAAAATAGAGTTAAAAAAGAAAAAAATTTTATAAATTGCACAAATTAATATAAAATATTTTATAAGAATTAATAATAATATATATAATTAATAGTTAAACTATATGAATAAAAGTATTTGAAAGGAAAATTTTTGCAATGAATAATTCTTTAACATTAATTCAACTAATATTCAATTTTGTATAAAAGTTTCAAATTTGATTGTTATCATAAAATTTTGATTGAATGTAAAAAGGTAACAATGAAATGTTTTATTCTCCAATATTTACTTGTGTTAATTTAAAAGATGAAAATTTGAAAAGAAAGGTCAACGTCAACCACTTGTAACAATTAAGCAATTTCTTATGAACTGATGATGACATATTGTGGTGACATGTGTCTCTCTTATGAGTTATGTCCATTAATGTTCGTACACAACACAATTTTGTTCATCTTTTTTCATTTATACAGTCATAAAAAGGTCAAAAGGTGACATTTTATAAAATGGTTTTCTCTAAAGTATCCATTTTATTCTGCTTCAATTCCACTTCAAAAATTTTGTATTCAACATTATGTTTAATTAATTTTGAAACGATGAAAATTCTTCATGTGAAAAATATATTTTAATTTCTATTACTTTATTAAAATATATATTAAATTATTTTTTTTTTTTTTGATTTTATATTATTTCTATTTTTTATGAAAAAAAAAAACAATAAAAATTGATGTTTGTGAAAAAAAAAAAAAAAAAAAAAGATTAGCTATATTTAAAATAGTAAAACTGAGAATAATATTTCAATAGAATGATGGGAAAAATAAAGATGAGATAAATAGAATATTTCATTTTCATCTTACAAAATCTTTTTCTAATTAATTATAAATAATTTCAAGAAGGAGAATATAAGATTGAAAAATTTTTGAGTTGTCTTCATATGTTATGGGAAAGTTTTATGCTTATTTAAGTTTTATGCTCATAATTTTTACTTGATGATCTCTGAACTTTTACGATATTTTAATTGTAATTAAGATTTTCAGAGTATCTGAAAAATAATTTACCCAAATTTTTACATACTTTTTGAATTATAATTAAGATTTCATATTTTTTTTGAAATTATAATTAAGATTTCAAGATCAAAAATGATTTATCTAACTTTTCACATACTTTTTGAATTTCATTTTTGAATTATAATTAAGATTTCGTTTTTTTTTTTTTTTTTTGAAATTATAATTAAGATTTCAATATCAAAAATGATTTATCCAACTTTTCACATACTTTTTGAATTTCATTTTTGAATTATAATTAAGATTTCATATTTTTTTTTTTTTTTTTTTGAATTATAATTGAGATTTCAAAATTAAAAATGATTTATCTAACTTTTTACATACTTTTTGAATTTGTTAATGAAAATATCGATTTTAAATTTGTAGAAGAAAATAGAAAGATAAAATAAATTTAAAACGCACTGTTATTTTTTACAATGTTTACTGATGCAAATGAATTTGTCATAAGTGTCAGGTTAGTACCTATAATTCATTCTCAGCTGACCTTGAATTTGCCATAAACTTAATTGATTGATTGATGTTTCTTCGTTCTCACTATTTTTCCATATTTAATTCTTATTATTTCAACTTTCAATTTCGAGGACATTTATTCCACAACTAATTT